ATGACATATGACTTTCTTTACAGAAAAAGACAAGCCAATTAATAGAGAGAATCTCAAGAAGTCAGATGATTAATTTTGTTTTCACAGTGCTCTTACATCCACTGACAATCTTATAAAAAAATTAATCACTTATGCCTGATTGATGGAGAGCCAATCTAAAATATAATTTATGTATGATACAGAGGTGAACTCTATTACTAACACCTTGAACTGTGATAGGGGTGGGGTGGAGGGAAGGTAGAGAGGGCAGGCACAAGAAGAAGTGAAGGATCTTTGCTCCAGGCAAGAGGAGGAGGGGGGATGTAGAAAACTAAACTGATTCTAGCAATAGTGAAAATTATGCATGGTATATACCATAGATTGTATGTCTGAGGTGAATTTTATTGCTAAACTTGGCTTACACAAGAGTTTTGTTTACCTTTTTAGATCAGAAGTTGAATTGCAAAGTAAAAGAACCATCACACTACAACCAAAAGTCTGATCACTAGAGCTCTATGGTCTGCTGCATGCTGCCTGCTGCCTTGTATGCTTCATCCATTTTTCCATTTCTTAGCATTTATCCTGTGAAATAAAAAGTGATGGAGTATGTTAACTGAATTCTAGTGAAGGAAAGGTCATTAGGAAAGACAGACATACTCTTCTTGCTCTTCACTAGCAGGAAATGTTTCCTCATTTGTTCAAATAGTAGGACCGACTGCATGAAACCTATTTTATGTCCACCAAAGACAAATCATTCATACATAAATTCCTGAAGTAGGAGTGGTAATTTTAATTACTACTGAAATTTCTGAGTTTGTAAAAACTTTTTAAAATTTATCAGAGGACTATTTACAGGTTGAAACAATTCACAAGTTTCAGTTCAAGCTCACATAGTTTAAGCTCCGTGTTTGAAATAAAACACAAAAGTGTCGTCTGCAATCTTGAGTCAAAGCGATGTCCATTTCTAAAACAACTCTTTTAGCAGAAGCTACACTCTTTTAAGGGAAACAAAGAGAATTAAGTAGAATACAGGTTAACAAGAAGTACAAAAAGTATTTAAGGCGTTAAAGAACAAACAACAAACCTTCAAGATAACCAAATTTAAGCCGATTATAAAGTCTTCCAGCTTCTAATCACCAAATCCACTTCGTGGTCGTTAAAGTGCACATTCGCAAAGGACGATGGGAAGGTTTAAAAAAAGAGACACGTTTTGATGCAAATTTAAGAATTTGTTCATGCTTAGCGTGCGTATATCGAGTTCTGGATGCACCCAAAAAAAGTAAACAAACGTCCCTATTGGCTGGTCAGGAAGACGCCACATTTTATACTTTGGTTTGAGGGAGAACATTTGATCCAGTTAACCGATACCTGTGAATGAAAAGCTCAAAATTTACGGGGAAAATGTGTCGTTCCGATGGACGTCCTCAATTTAAGAGCGCATTTGGAAAGCGTAAACTTGCCAATATGTGGAGGAAAACCTACAGATACTCCAGCCAACATTTTAGACTGGTATAAAATGGGAATAGTAACGAGGCTTCGAAAAAATAATTAAAAAAGAAATCACAAAGAAAAAGAAAAAAGACAAAACAAAACGGCAAGTCCCCCAGTACAGGATTTCCATCCTGACTCGGACCGCAATCGCGGTACAATGCTCTACCCACTGAGCTGCGGGGAACTTGCCATGAATGGAAAGCAAATTTAAAGATTATATGTAACAAATGGAGTATGTACTGCAAGGAAAAAGTTCACAGAGATTGTGTGGAAAACTGAGTGTTTTGACTCTAAATTGGCATTAATTAAAAATCTTTTTTTTTTCATTTAATAACGCTCAAATTCAGCAGCGTTCCGATGCACGTCCTCGATATAAGAGTGCATTTTGAAAGAGTAAAGTTGTCAATAAGTGGAGGAAAACCTTGGCTAATGCAATAAAGCGAGAAAAGGACTATACAAAGGTACTCTATGCTACTTTTTAGTCGGGCATAATATGAGAATAGCAGCAAAGCTTCGAAAAAAAAAAAGCCAAAAAGAAAAAAAAACAAACAAACAAAACGGCAAGTCCCTGGATACAGGATTTCTATCCTGACTCGGACTGCATTTGCGGTACAATGCTCTACCCACTGAGCTGCGGGGAACTTGCCATGCATGGAAAGAAAATTTAAAGATTATATGTAACAAGAGGAGTACGTACTGCAAGGAACAAGTGCATAGAGATTGTGTGAAAAACTGAGTTTTTTGACTCTAAATTGACATTAGCAAAAAAACTATTGGTTGTTTGATTTCATAATGCTCAAATTCAGCAGCGTTCCGATGCACTTCCTCAATTTAAGAGTGCGTTTGGAAAGGGTAAACTTGCTAATAAGTGGAGGAAAACCTACAGATACTCCAGCCAATATTTTTAGACTGGTATAACATGGGAATAGCAACGAAGCTTTGAAAAAATAATTGAAAAAGAAATAACAAAGAAAAAGGAAAAAACAAAACAAAACGGCAAGTCCCCCGGTACAGGATTTCCATCCTGACTCGGACCGCATTCGCGGTACAATGCTCTACCCACTGAGCTGCGGGGAACTTGCCATTCATGGAAAGAAAATTTAAAGATTATATGTAACAAGAGGAGTACGTACTGCAAGAACAAGTGCACAAGGATTGTGTGAAAAACTGAGAATTTTGAATCAAAATTGGCATTGCTAAAAAAGCTTTGTTGTTTGATTTAATAATGCTCAAATTCAGTAGCATTGCGATGCTCGTCCTTAATTTAAGAGTGCATGAAAGGGCAAACTTGCAAATAAGTGGAAGAAAACCTTGGCTAATGTAGTTAACCGAGAAGAGGAGTATACAAAGATATTCCGGACTATTTCTTGGCCAGGTATAAAATGGGAATAGCAACGAAGCTTCGAAAAAAATAATATTACAAAAAATCCAGAAAAAAGGAAAAATAATACAAAACGGCAAGTCCCCCAGTACAGGATTTCCATCCTGACTCGGACCGCATTTGCGGTACAATGCTCTACCCACTGAGCTGCGGGGAACTTGCCATGCATGGAAAGAAAATTTAAAGATTATATGGAACAAGAGGAGTTCTTACTGTAAGAAACAAGTGCACAAAGATTGTATAAAAAGCTGAGTGTTTTTACTCTTAATCGGCGTTAGTAAAAAGCTTTGTTGTAAGCTTTAATAACGCTCAAATTCAGCAGCGTTCCGATGCAGGTCCTCAATTTATGAGTGCATTTGGAAAGGGTAAACTTGCCAATAAGTAGAGGAAAACCTACAGATACTCCAGCCAACATTTTAGACTGGTATAACATGGGAATAGCAAAGAAGCTTCAAAAAAATAATTAAAAAAGAAATCACAAAGAAAAAGAAAAAAAAACAAAACAAAACGGCAAGTTCCCCGGTACAGGATTTCTATCCTGACTCGGACCGCATTCGCGGTACAATGCTCTACCCACTGAGCTGCGGGGAACTTGCCATGCATGGAAAGAAAATTTAAAGATTATATGTAACAAGTGGAGTACGTACTGCAAGGAACAAGTGCACAAGGATTATGCGAAAAACTGAGTGTTTTGACTCCAAATTGGCATTGCTAAAAAAAGCTTTGTTGTTTGATTTAAAAATGCTCAAATTCAGTAGCGTTCCGATGCACGTCCTTAATTTAAGAGTGCATTTTAAAAAGGTAAACTTGCAAATAAGTGGAAGAAAACCTTGGCTAAGGTAGTTAAGCGAGAAAAGGGGTACACAAAGATACTCCAGACTATTCTTTTAGCCCGGTATAACATGGGAATAGCAACGAGGCTTCAAAAAAAAAATTCTCAAAAAGAAAAAAGGAAAAAAAAAGAGAAAAAGAAAACAAAACGGCAAGTCCCCAGGTACAGGATTTCTATCCTGACTCGGACCGCATTCGCGGTACAATGCTCTACCCACTGAGCTGCGGGGAACTTGCCATGAATGGAGAGCAAATTTAAAGATTATATGTAACAAGTGGATTTCGTACTGCAAGGAAAATGTTCACAGGGATTGTGTGGAAAACTGAGTGTTTTGACTCTAAATTGGCATTAATTAAAAATCTTTGTTTTTTCATTTAATAACACTCAAAATCAGCAGCGTTCCGATGTATGTCCTCAATTTAAGAGTGCATTTTGAAAGGGTAAAGTTGTCAATAAGTAGAAGAAAACCTTGGCTAATGTAATAGAGCGAGAAGAGGACTATACAAAGGTAGGCAAGTCCCCAGGAACAGGATTTCTATCCTGACTCGGACCGCATTCGCGGTAAAATGCTCTACCCACTGAGCTGCGGGGAACTTGCCATGCATGGATAGTAAATTTAAAGATTATATGTAACAAGTGGAGTACGTACTGCAAGGAACAAGTGCACAGAGATTGTGTGGAAACCGAATGTTTTGACTCTAAATTGGCATTAATGGAAAAACTTTGTTTTTTCATTTAATAACGCTCAAATTCAGCAGCGTTCCGACGCATGTCCTCAATTTAAGAGTGCATTTTGAAAGGGTAAAGTTACCAATAAGTAGAAGAAAACCTTGGCTAATGTAATAGAGCGAGAAGAGGACTATACAAAGGTACTCTACACTACTTTTTAGTCTGGCATAATACAGAATAGCAGCAAAGCTTCGAAAAAAAAATCAATAAAGAAAAAAAAAAGAGAGAAAAACAAATCAAAACGGCAAGTCCCCCGGTACAGGATTTCCATCCTGACTCGGACCGCATTCGCGGTACAATGCTCTACCCACTGAGCCGCGGGGAACTCGCCATGTATGGAGAGCAAATTTAAAGATTATAACAAGAGGAGTACGTACTGCAGGGAACAAGTGCACAAAGATAATGTGAAAAACTGAGTGTTTTGACTCTAAATTTGCGTTAGTAAAATTAAAAACTATGTCGTGTGATTCTATAGTGCTTAAAGGGTAATGTATTTATGATGGGCAAAAATTATATTGTTTTGACTACAGAAATCTTATATTATCGTGTGTGTAATGAAATTAAGGCATGCGAGACCTTAATTGGTTATCAGAGTTTATTCATGTCTCATAGGTATGATTTTAAAACTGTTTTTAACAGATCTGGGCATAAATCTGAATAGGGAAGAAAATGTCACATAATGTATGCGATAAGTTATTTGCCTTACAATAAGGAAGATAATAAATATATATTAAATACGTAAAAATAAGCATTAAGTTAGTCTGACTCACTGACTCCCACCACAGACTCATAATACCTACTGGCCTCTTAAAAAAATCTGAGTTTCAATGGATAAATATGGACCTATTGGAAAAAAAAAGGAACAAACTTTCTTTTGTTTGTTAAGAAAAATAGAACAGGGTTTCTAGAGTTTTTAAATCTTACTCCTACATTTCGTTTAAACTAAAGCATGTTGAAATCCTATCAAGTTCGTACAAGGGATTCGTTTAAGGGATTCTTTTGCAATACAAGTGAATTACATATTAAAAAGTCTTATCATAAATATATAGATTTACAAATTTTTGCCAGCTTTATGCTGTCGTTCCTATCTTGTTTTAAAAAAATGGCATAAATGAGTAACTGTTTGAAACTGATAAAATGAAACACTTAATAGCCTCTTAGCGGGCTTTCAAATAAATAGGTTATTCGATGCAGTTGAGATTTTTAAATACAAATCTTTTGCCTGCTCCTGAGATCAGATCAATTTGACATTGAACCGATCTTGCGTCATATGTTTTACTGAGACAGTATGTTAAAACTTAATGAACGGGTAAACTAAAATGTTAATTTTTCTCTGGTTGCCAACGCGAAAGCTGGCAATTAAAGTTTGCAGAAGAATTTTGAAATGTTGAATGCCTTGAATGCCGCATCAGTTTGTGTTTCAGTTACTCGATGGCACCTTTTTAATTTACATTATACTAACTCTTGGTCTTCGACAGTGTCGTAAACATCTCTTCTGTTATCAGACAGGTCAGGCGATATTCCAGTTTTTTTCGCTTTGTAGCTGTCCTTGAAAATATTTTGTCGCAATCTACGCCACAAGCTACCAGAAGACTGTGGATAAAAAGAAAGCGATTCACTAAAGCACATTTTTCTATCCTCCCTGATCAAAAGATCATCAAGCTAAGGGACTAGTCGTCCATTTGAAGGCCTTGTTCCAAAAGTACGTCCCCTAAGTTAGTTTTAAGACTCATTCCCTGAATGAAGAACGATTCTACGTGAGCCAAATTTTCGACACAGGATTGGTTATTTTCAGATCATAACGGAATTGATCATTTACTGGAATCACTTCAGGAATAAGGGGCCATGTGGCAAGGGGGGGGGGGGGGGGGGGGGAGGGGGAGGGGCACGAGTTTCAATTATCCATTACTTACCCGAGTTTCAGTTGAAAACTTTTGAGAGGAGGATCTAAATTCATCAGCTGCTTTTTGAACGGTATCAACTTTGGCTCGTCTTTCAGCCATTTTTCTCTAAAAAAAAAAAAAAAAAAAAAAAAAAACGAAACAAAAAAAAGAAGGAGCTCAATGAGGGGTCAAAGTAAAACAACCAAACTGTCCAAAACGCGGGAAAAACGTGGGCGACCAAGTCGTGATTGGTTTTTAGTTTGCGCCTGATTGGCTGGCAAGTTTCTGGACCAATCACAAAGCAAAATAAAGCAAAACCAATGTAACTCGGATTACTTTCGGGAACTCACTTGTACATAAGCTCATCAAAATGCTATGAAAAAACGCCCGTAAAGCAAAGACACATGTCAGTGGTTTCAAGTGCGGTAAAACATGATATGGAAGTGGTGTGAAAGGCTGGGAAAGACGTAACCATGCAACCAAGGGCGCAAAAAACATGGCGGGCGATAAGCGACTATGCCTCGTATCATGAATTAACGTTTTCTATATAACTTACGTCAAAGTCTTCATCATTCTTTACATCGTCAGGGGCTTCTCTAGGCTCGTCTTGCTGTTCAAAAAGAAAAATTGAGTTGATGAAAACAGTTTGGATCACGGATGCTGTCCATTAAAATGTAACTCAGCACCACTGAATTATTTCAAACTCTGCCCCCCATTCCTTACCACCTCTGAACGGTGGGTCAGTCTATCACTGGAATTTTACAACAGAGCTGTATATAGCAGACAATACTTTAAGCCACCCACTGTAGCCACACGTCAATTCCTCTCTTCTGATTCTGATTCCGTGCACTAGAAACAGTCTTCTTAGTTCGCGTCCAAATATGTCACATTGAGGCCATCGATTAAGCAAGGGCTCACAAGCACCCCAGTAAGGATAGAAGGGTGCTAACACTACAATTGGGGGGAGGGGAGTATAAGGACGTTTAATTTTTCCCTACCTGACTAAGTTGGTTTTTGCGCTGAAAGTAAATGCATTAGAAAACAGAAACCATAACCTTAACTATAATTGTGAGAGATTATGTAAAACGTTGATACTATCTACCACTCACATAGCCTTATCTTGTATAAGGAGAAGTGGTTTTGCTAAATTTCTTAGCGGAAGGTTTTCTTAGAAATCCAAGCCATTTACCTTTACAGTTCTGATTCTGTCATTCGATTCTGGATGCACAGCACCCTGAAGAGGAGGTTCATCCTCCAAAACACAAGCAACATCTTCCTGAGTTATCATGGAGTCTATATCTTCGGAGGAAGCATTTCCGATGGGCGAATTTTCGTACATGCGACTCGGGACTCCATCGTTTGGGATCTTATCAGCATCAGGAGTTTTATGAAAAAGAGGAACATCATAGCCAGGTGGTTTCTCATAGATGTGATTTGTGATTCCGTCGATTGAGCATAACATGCCATCATTGCTGGGTACCGTCGTGGATCCTCCTTGCGTCAGTCCTTCGCTTTTTGTCCCGTATGTTACTAGGAAGTCCGGAGATGTATTTTGTTCAGCGGTTTCCTCGACAGAATCCCTCCGTGTGTTTTTCTCCTGAGCACAGGTGATATGAGGTGAGCTTTTTTTATCTTAAAAGAAAGGAATGAAAATTAGTACAGTCTTATTCTAAGAAACGAGAAAGATTAGGCACACCTGCATTTGCTCACAACTGAGCGCCTTCTTTTGAAACATTTCTAAGAGTTGTTACTGAAAGATCACCTACGTTGCTACTTTCTGACCAAGACTTGGTTTCTTCTCTTTTGCTCATACTAATTTTTTTGAAATATGACGCTGCTCTCACGCCATCTCACGTCTCTGGTGCGTGAGAAACAATTTGGATTTAAAGTTGATCTGTCACTCGAACAAGACTCTAAACAACTTAACCGTTAACAAGAAACTTACTGTCGTAAAGTGGCGGCTGCTTTTGTAAAGGCACCTTTGGGTTTTCAGGCTCCTCGCTGATACTCATGTCATTGATGGCGTCTCTCCTTGGTAATGGTGAATCTGACTGGCTTTTTAGACTATCAACCATTTCATAATCATTTTGTGCCTTGTTTGACCTCTTCTTTTTAGCTGAAAGGAAGAGATTTCTGGTTAGAAATTAAGAACCGCTTCCTGTCTCTACCTCAACAATAACGAAGGAATGTTGGTAATACATGACGGCGACGAAATCGCTGTTTGTCAAAATGTTTTTGAACGATGGTAGCCGGCCATCGATAAGCCATCATTTGACTTATTTGATCCCATTTTACTATCAAAGCCCCTAATTGCTCACCTGATGCTGAAACAGCACGTGATTTTTTAACAAATTCTGTCCACACCTCGTGTTTGGTGTCCTCAGGCGCTATAGCCTACAGTACAGGCGTCATTTTTCATTTCTCGTGTTTTTCAAGTGAGCGGAGGCAGACGCGAGGCGAGCATGAAGTAAACGCAGGGAAAACGCAAGGAGAAGACACATATTGAGGAAGGGGGGCCTTGTGCGCTCACTTTGCGCTTGTCTCACGTTTTCCTCGCGTATGTCTCGCCTAAAAACGTAAAAACTCCTCTTTTGCAGACCACGGGAGGTTTTCCTTCAGATTGAGGAAAGCCCCATATTTCAAGAAAAGTTCCTTAGGGATAATTCTGTACTAGATAAGAAATCACCTACCATTAGAGGTAAGATTTATGGCGTTTTTTGGGTTTTGGACAGGAGAAGGTTTATTTTTCGGAGTCGTTGACGCGCCTGTGCTGCTTTTGTCTCGTATTCGTTTGACGGCATCCTGGATCTGGTGCAAGGAAGAGAAACAAATGTTAACACTCTAAAGCAAGCCTATCCAGTTTGTCTATGTGGTTAGAGGTGGAAACATGCCGGTGTATGATTGTGTTTCAATAGTATTTCTTCTGAGATTATGTTTATTTGTCCCTACGGATTCCATAAACTTTAAGATGAAGACCTTATGATATATTCGCTCTATTAAATCGACTGAAGTGCAATCCGGAACAAATGGAAGCCTATTATTGGATCATGAAGAGAAAAAATTACGCCGATTTCAACAAACTGATATCATTATTGATTTCATATATGTGCAACACATTTAACTATTTTCGGGGTGAACAATTTTGAGAGGTTCGTAAGCCATTAACCTATCTTTACTCAACAGATCCCAATCATTCTAATCTGTAGCTCTTAATTACCTGTTTGTTTAACAAGCAGTGAAATATAAATATCATCAGTCCCTGAAGAGAATTAGCAATGACGAATATATATTTGAAAGCAATGGTAGACGAGCTTATGCTGAGAAGACCGAACAACCACGCGATTCCAAGCAGGGGAAGAACGACCGCGGAGGCCTTGACACCAGCTTTGACCTTCTCGAATTGCGTCTTGTTTTGAATGTGCCGTGTTCCCATCATTTGACGAATCACCAGGATAAATACTACGATATTTATCTGAGTAAAAAAAAAAAAAAGAAAAATTGTCTACTTTGAAAATGAATAGTGTTTGAGAAGCCACAATCCTTACTCAGCCCCTCCCCACTTCTTTATGATTTTTGCACTTCGTTTGCTGGGATTGTACAAAATTAAAAAGGGAAGGGGGTATTATTTCGACCTGCACTTCATTTTAACTGTCATTTCAAGTCGTCACATGAAAACTAGTTTTGTCGTGTATCATACCTAATAAAGCTACAAATATCTATTGATGACATCGTGTGGTCCATTAGATGAAATCCTTTTTGTCGTGTTTTGTGAGTTTTGAATAATTTAGGTTCGGAAAATTTTGAACTTTTACCATTTTTAATCGGTATTAGTCAAAAACGAACAAGGATGGCTGAAGATTGATATTTTGGTCACTAGTTTTCCTAAGTCACAAAAACCAGGAAGATACCCTTTCCTTCAAAGCTCTCCTCAGGACATGCCATCCAAACATTCAGAATTGATTTTTCTCCATTTTGGATTTCAGACCCGAAAAGACACTGGAAACAATTTGTTTCCTGTCACAGCATCCAGTGGAGCGAACATTTCATTGATATGAAGTAAAACAGAGAACTAAGGAATATCCACTGACCGAGATAATGAGTATTGCAGGCCCAATAAACGCCCAAATGACTCCACTTTTTACATCAAGCCAGCAAGCCTCTGACGAGCCGTACCCAACAGCTTGAGTAGCACCTAGCGATATGGCGACTATAACAGCTGGAAAACCTTGAAAAACAAAGATATTTAATTCATTTCAAACGAGAAAGTCTCCTACTCTGCAGAAGACGAGTGAGTGCTACACTTTCTAGAGAAAAGAGGCTAACTTCTTCATGCAGGCTTCATTCCTCAAGAGATCCCTTTTAAAGTATTTTTAGACTAATGAATTGTGCTCACGTGGACGTGTGGCGTCAAGTTTTTGTTTGCTTAATCATTCTCAGAATATCTGATACTTTGAACCTGAAAATAACTTGATGGAAATAAAAGTTGGAATAGACCGGATATCAATTAATACTGTCAAAGTGAGACCACCAAAAGCGCGGGAAAACGGAGGCCTTTAGTTTTGCCTCTGACTGGTTCAAAATTTAGCGAGAGTTGTCGGCAGCTAACAAAGAAGGAAGTAGTACAAACTTTGATGAAAATAAAGGAAAAAATGGGAAGACAACAAACAAACTTACCCCATCCAAGCAAGTAAAAATACTTGACTTTGTCATCAGCTCCACCTCCAAAGACTTTGACGAGCAGGATATAAAGTAACACTCCCTCACACAACATCCAACAAAACAATGCTAACAGGAAATAATGCAGTAAAGCGGCCATTATCGTGCAGCCCGTCTGAAAGATAATAAAGAAAAGGTAAGATTGAGCGGTGCTCTCTCCACCGCAGAGCCATCTTTATGGCTGAATATCGTAACTAGGATGCGTGCGGGAACTTCGAGGCCTGGGTAAATGTGGTTGTCAAAGACATGGTTGCCAAACCTAGCTTCCGCAGTTGCGCAGTCCTTTGCTTCACAAAATCTCTAATCAATGGCTTATTTCCAAACTTTCAAAGAAACAACATATAACTCCCAACCTCGTGATCGTTAGAACGTCTCGAAGGGAAATAAGTTATTCATTCAATAAAAACTAAAGAAACGCTATATTTATTTCTTTTACTCCTGCTTACGCTTTGACTTGACGCGTTCGTCGTGTAAAGGAAACAGCTCACAATTCGCAGCTCTAACCCGCTACTTTTTAACATGAGAGAAACTCTACAGTCCACTTAGTTGACATGCATGGAAATAATCAGGAATGATTCAAAAGGACTTAATTTGAGTGAGTGAACGTGACCATCTTCATCGAACGTACCTCGTTATTTCTCGCTGAACCTTCTGCTATCACAAGTATGCAACAAATGGCGATAGCAGCGCACAGGTTTAACAGAACTTTCGCCCTCGGGCTTTTTACTGCTCTCCAGAAAAACACAGTAACGACCATAGTAACAATAACAGCAAGGAGAGAAATGGAACAACCAATGATTGAAATGATTTCCAATGCTTTCTTGTGAGATTGTTCGATCTGAGAAAATAGATGTACACACAAAAATGTTAAGGGCGGCAACTAGATTTCACCAATCAAATGCATAGTTACAGCCAATCATCAATTATGACCAGTTCACTTTCGTTAACCTGCGCCTAGGGACGATCGCACTGATTTATGATTGGCTCCTTGCCATAGTTTCTGATTGGCCGTTGAGTTAGAGATGGTTCTTGATGTAAGTGTCTCTTTTCTCCTCAACCCTTCTGATCAGTCACAGAATTTGGAAGCACTGTCATTTACGAAAGATAGCCGTGAAAGGGATGCCTTAAACACCATGTAAATTTTTTTCTGTGGTCAATCTTTTTAAAAAAGCGGCGATCTGTTTCACTTTTACTCACAGGTGCATCGTGAGGATCCATGAGTGAGGCGAAGACGGTCAGATGATTACATTCACATGTTGTGATACTGACGTTAGACTCTTCAGCAACAAGTCTACAACCATTGGTCTGCCATACGCCTCCACCTCCAGGCCGCCAGAAAACACACTTTCTTTTTACATCGACTTCCGCAGGAACATTTACCTTGAGAAGAAAGTCAGAAGAAAGATTGGTGCTAAGATTTATAACAAATCTTATTACTTGAAACAATCAGAAGGAAAATAAAACGTTTGAGTAGAACCAAACCAGTAAAGGATTAATTACCCTTTTGTTCTCTAAAACAATCTTGACCGGCTGCTTGAATACATTTGGGGGCCTGGGATAGACAGTGGATGATACAACGGTGGTATTAGCGGTGACCGCTTGTTTCTTGTCCTTAGTTTCTTTGTCCAGCGGTAACACATCGTTTAACGTGAGAAGTACTGAAGTAATGGCGCGGGAGTCTGGGGATGAGCTGAATGCCTCGCCTGGTAAATGAATGGAGCTTTGATTGTAGCTCACACTCAAGCCTTCAGTTCTTAACTAAAAGGAAACGTGAAAAGAAACATGACTTACATTTTACAAAGGTTTCTGTTAATGCTACGTAGGTAATGACTTTTTGCGCGCAATATTAAACGCATTGTTGCGAGAGATTATCTCACGTATTTTCATCGTGTCATCATCGTTAGCTGATTACTTTGAATACATTACCGTAAAAAAACCTGGCGCTAAGCATAACCGTTTTCAATTTGTCGGTGTTACTATAGGCACTTTACTGCACTTTTTCTTTTACTGCTTAAACGTCGTCATGTGAAGCCATTTATGGTAGCAACCCATTCTCGGGGCCCTCTTTCTTCGTCCCTCGGGAAAGTAAGGGGAAAGAGAGAGGACCCTGGGAACGATGTTGTTGTCGTAGCTATTTTCCCTAAGTTACAATCTTTTTTGTGGCTTGGCCACATGTGCTTATATAATTAATCGTCTTCATACCGGGTTGTTTCCTTGTACTCGGTCGATCCTGACTAACACGTTTGTAGCCTGAACGATTGTGTACTTTGAGGATCCAGTAAATGTCGCTGCCACACCCAGACCGTAATCATCAACTGCTTTCACTAAGATTCTACTCCGGCTATCACCCAACTGCAAGTAAAATCAGTCACAGAAAAGTACTGTTAAACAAGCCTCTGTATGATAACGAGATTGGAAGCTGATGACGACAAGCGCACTGCTTCTGTAAGGCAACGTACACTAATGCGGCAGAGAGACATGACCCGAGTAGGTTCATGAATAGTACAATCTTAGAGGCGAACAACGGAGTGACACATGAAGGACTGTTTGTAGCAACATTAACACTTTTCATTAACAAATTTGTAGAATTTTACATTTCCGTAACTGAACCAATACTAGAAAACAAAATAACTCTTTCACTCAAACAAACTCTTTGCAAAGCTAGAAAAATGGATAACAAAATTAGCGCCTAATCCTAGGTAAACTTGATATTGCTACATTATTGAACAACCGGCGAAGAGCTGTCTGTAATAAAGTAGTAATTCTTCCTACTCTGTGCCAGTCAATTCTTACGATGTTATTTTGAAGAATTTTGTATTGCATCGATAGATTCTCATCACTTCTATGCTTGATATTTTATTAATTTTATAAGGAGAAATTCTCCCTTGGTCACTCATGGAAGTTAAAGGGTAAGAGGAACATAAACTAAACTTACATTCTCGAGTTCCTGCCAAGTTACACGATTGACTGGTTCCAACAAGTTACTCGCCACTTGAACGAAGTTCTTGACATCCTCCTCGTTACTCACGTTGCCTTGTTCAGCATTATAATCAGCCACTTTGACAAGTACATTCACAGCGATGACCAAGTCTCCACCAAAGATTTCAGGAGATTTCTGCGTGCTGTTTACGTTTGGTAGAGTAACGTTTAGTAGCTCTGATAGAATTTGTTTCGCGGTAAAGTTTGTCTGGAAACCTTCCGTAACAGCTTCGATCTGAAAATAAAAGGATCTTAAGTGTGATTGATGAGAGGACGAACGAAGAAACGGGTGTGTGTATGATTGTCGTGTAAAGTCCTCCGATCGAGCTGTTACAGTTTCCATACAGAAGTTATGAGTGATAGGCAGATTAACATGAGAAATCTAAACTAAGGTTCACGACATGAATATCAATCAGCTCCTACCTCGTCACCCAGTCGGAGAAATTCACGTGAACTGCAGTCTACGAAGTTTGCGTTTTCCCACTTCCCATTCACAGCACAAAAACGCGATACTTTCCCTAGGATGAATTTATATTTAAAACATTTCACGGTCAGGAGTCCACTGCAATCTATGCTTGACGTCTGGGAAATGGGAGGAGCAGGGGAGGGAAAGGAAACCGACCCTGGTTGTAACCTCTATCATATTGCGAGGGCGTAGTCTACGCTTTATCAAAAAAAAAAGATTATCTATGTCAATAAAAAAAAAATGGTATACCAGCAAATAACGAGAGAGACAATTAGAGTTGCCCACCCGCTGGGAAATCTACTTACACTACCGCCTTGTTCGGTATATCACCTAGTCTACAGAATGACGGAACTGTTCAATGTTCATTTATGTTTGGTTCTAATCACGAGAAAAAGGACATATGGCCATTGTATCCAAACCCTCTTATGGCTTACCCCTGGCTCCTGGTGGACAAGGTTTGATGTCAGTTTGTTCTGCAGCTGTGGCTGACCACAGGACTCCTTTAAGCCACTCTTCTCGACACCTTGGTACGTCTGTGAGACAAATAAGAATTTTCATGTGAATATCTGGGACAAATACTCAAATCAGCTGAATGATATGACTTTAATTTGAATGAAGGGATCGTGAACAACCTTGAAAAAAATCACGCAAGTTATGTGGCTGTTCCCAGGCTTTCTAAAACTCGTGAACTTTTATTCACCAAAGAAAGTTTAGTGATAAATCTTCTTTGCTTGCCCTGTTAATACATGGTACCATTCCTTCATGTTTTAGCCTATGCATGTCAGTTTTCGTATCGTTTCGGGGATACAGTTTTTGACAGGAGATGTGAGGACAATACTGCAAGAGTTTTCCTCAACTATTTCTGACCTTTTCTCGTGATAAGTATTGTCCTTTAGCGATCACACTCGCCTGGATAAACTCTTGTTAGTGAGAATTAAATTCTCCATTTAAGGTATTGTTCAGTTCTTAAAAGTACCACGCCTACCTGGTTTTATAATAATCAGCTCAGCCATTTCACTCATAGCCAGCACAGATCCTTCCTGTGACCGCATCACACAGACAAATTTTCTAACATAACTCTCCCCTCCGTCTGGGATTTCTAAATTGGTTGCTGTGTAACTCGGTCGATCATTGAGGAATTCTAATCCTTCTGATGTCACTTCAACTACAACTACGCTTGCTCCTTGCCTGACGCCGCTGACCACTCTGCAGGAAAACGATGCCTTACCACCTAATAAATTTGTAGTAAAATCTGTGCTCAGTATAAGAAGTTCTCCCTTCGTTTAAGGATGAATAAGAATCTCGACCCCATCGCTATGCCAACTACTGAAATTCCAGTTTTGTCTTTGTCTACCACATGGCGAGCCACAGCTGTGAAAAATTTAAAGCAATTTTCAAAGAAATCTGGGATGGCTTTAGTTCTATTCGTTTACGGTCTGGGATTGGTCGAAGTTAAAAAACTTGCCCCCCATTCCTCCACCAAACACGTGCAAACGTAATAACGACTGGGACCGGGCTACTCTAGTTCTCCCGCGTTTCAGGATGTTTAAAATTATTGACTTTCCGTTCTCATTGGCTACTTGTGATATTGTCTCTTGTTCTGATTGGTCGACGTTACAACTCTGGTTTCAATTTTACAACAGGCCATCGACAAGCCCTCCGATACACAAGGTAATACATCTTTTGACCTGTGAAAGATCCTGAAGGAAGTCTTTTAAGAAATCTGTGAAGCACACTGTCATGGAATAAGCAGAGCGATGGAGTACGAGGGCTGCTGAATGACTCTGCACTTACCAACGAACTCAGAGACTGCTCGCGGTGATATTCTAAGTACAGGAACAACCTGAACTGATACGTTTGCTGTACCAATCTGGCTTCCTTTACTGTAAAAGATACGAACAGAGGAGGAAGTAAGTACAACGATTCACCCTCAAACTACTTCCTGAGTCTTACCATCAGTATGGTCGTCACCCTGATGATATCATCCAAAACACTTTTAGTGGTGTGATATAAATACCAGAAAAAAAACGATCACGTTAAACCAAAGAGTCAATTAAATTTAACACGACGCCCTAAACAACCGAAAAAAAATCAGCCCCCCCTTTCTGTTTCACGTTCATTCACTGGATTTAAAAATTCAAATTTTCCGAAGAGAATTATTTTATCTGTGGCACATATGGCTCTCTAAAAGTTGACAAACCTCTTGGCGCCCCTGAGCGGTAGTTAGAAAAGTGAATTCACAGCATTGTTAAAAGTCTTCTCTATCATCAAGTTGAACGAGCTTACCCTGCTTGGCAGACATAGACTCCTTCGTCAGAAGCCATAGCATCTCTAACGGTGAGGCGGGAATAGCCCCTGTTAGTCTCAACTTTTGTGCGGTGACTCAAACCAATGATATTTCCTCCTTTAGACCACGTGATCTGAAGGTCGGGAGGACCGCCAATCACGGTGCAGTTAATGACAAATCTGCCGGTCACGTTCACCATCAAATGTGAAGCTCGTATTGTTACGCTCTGTATGCCTGAAGTAAGAATGTTAGATACACCTGTAGTTAACCCATGGATGACCAAGAAAGAATTTCTCTTCACAATATTAGTATAATATCAGGCACACAAGTGATTGGAATTAAGTAAAATATCAGCTGGGGGATTATTAGTTGATCCAACAAGTAGAATTGATGATGAGATCTTGGGAGTGCTTCTGTAACATGATCACATCGCGTTGTGCGGCTTTGTGACGATTCGTCGTTATCCTCGATCAATAGGGAAGGATATATTTCTTTAAACACCTGACTAATTATGGCAATCGGTAAAACAGAGTTCAAATAAACGTTACGCAGTCCTATAATAAGTTAAAGATGATATGGATGACCTTCTCAAGTTTTGATTTCGGTTTCTCACAACAGATGTACAGCGTTAAATACCAGTTATAACTTCCACCCTTCCCCCTCCCCCTTAGTATAATCGTCTATTTGAATGTCCATGATGTGATGCTACTCACTCAAAAAGACAGAAAAAAACCCAGGTTGACGACAATTAATACAATTGACTGATGTACGGGTTAACTGTAGTGATATTATGCTAAGGTTTTTGTTTTTAAGTCTCGTTTTAGTTTGCTTTTGATCCAGTTTGATAAATTACAACTTATTCCTTCTAAAAACCATTTAAAATATCTGTTTCGAATTATCCATCAAATTCGAACGGAAACCATAAACGTCAGCTACCAAAACACAATTCTGGTCGCACAATTTCCCTTTAAATTTTTTTTTAAGAATTTAGTTCAAAAATATCAAATATTAGGAAATGAAAACTTTACCTGCTTGGCTTTGTAATTTTGTTCTGTTTCTGTCCAACGAGAAGTTTCCAAGATTATCAGCTTGGGACACCACTTGTTGGAGAAAACTCATATTGGGGCTCGCTGCTTCCAACTGAATTTCTGCCTGAACGCTTCCCGGGCTGAAGAGTGAAATGGAGCTTATCCTTTAGAACAGCAGACTAAAAAATTTTACTTGTGAAAATTTGAGATTAAGACTGAACTTCCGTGAAACCCAGATTCGAATTTGTAGACGAATGACACATGCTCTTTTTTCAAATTTATTGGGAACTTTTCTACAAAACGTTTTAAAATCACTTCTTGGATATCCGTCACATACTTTCCCGTTTATGTGTACACTATGAACCTCGCTCCCTTAAAATATTTCCCATTTTGACCCCCAGTGATTGGCTCGTTTCATATTATAATACCTTTACTTGAAATCCTTGAAATAAAGCATATACGAGTAAGAATAAATACCTGAAAGACAGCACAGTAGCTCTCTTAAACCATCCATGTCTGGAATAGAGTTTCGTAATCTGTGAAAATGAACGCCAGTAAAAGCTGTTAACTTGGTTAAATGAACTAAGGAGGTGAGATTCCAAAGAAACTGTGGCGCTACATTGGTGGAGTGTATTACAAGATAATTTGGTTTTTTTTCAGACTGCCTCTGAGGAGTGCAGGGGGGAGGGGGTAGAGAGGTGCCTTCACCCCCGTCCCGTCCCATACGCTTGCACCCCTTTCTCTCTCCATCTCAACCATTTACTTCTCCTCAGACTGCCTCTGCAAAGGCGTTGGATAAAACGGTGTTCGACTTCAATAACACATGTTCACTTTGAATACATCGCTTTACAGTTGTTCAACTATTTTCAGCCCAATGTGCGGATGATACTGTTACTAACCTCTCTCGTCACATTCTCTTTCAAAGCCTTAAATCGACTGGAAATTGGATCTTTGAGGTCCTCTGAGAAGTTTTCACTTGTAATTCTCAGCGTCAAAATATAATAGGAATCCTCTGCGGAAAAAAAATGTTAAAAAAAATGTCATCTGATACTAAGGTCACTGACAAGCAAGAAATCATGCACTTGGATGGCTTTCGTGGCCTTTATCAATATTTCAATAGTTCTTGTAACAGATCTGTTAACAACAAAATTCACTAATCTGATTGGTTCTTAACAGCTTTACTATTCGGCTGATCTAGTATCAGAACTGTTAAACTTCCCTGTGCGATCTAAGATTGTTAGCCATTTCATCACCATCAGCGCCAAAAGGGGATAACTGCATTGCAACATCGACTTATCGCCCACTTACGTGAATCCAAAGTCCTTACAAAAACAACCTCGTCACTAGGGGGGCCAAGTCCTGCACTGTTATAACCTTGCACCACCACGGTGTAGTTGGTCCACGGAGTGAGCCCTGACACCACTCCCGTGACGATATTTCCTCCTACGACCTTCACCCTTATGGCATAGTCTGGGATCAACAGGATTTCAACCGACTCTTCGTTTGGCTGCCGATATGTGCGACGACCCTGCCAGATGTAGATCTGAAAAATAAAAAATGAAAGTTCTAAAAGGGTACGTCGACAGTATTTTCATACTTCAGTGGACCTAAAGGCAAAACCATATTGGGAAACTTTATCTAAGAGGTTTTGGCGGTCGTTTTTAGTTTGATGTCAAAGCGGAGCGGAAGTAGCTGAGATCTACTTCCGGCTACCGTCCGAAGTCAGTTGATGAGCGAGGAATAATGAAACGAATATTCAAACTCCCCCTCTTTTTTCTGTCATCATATGGCAAGGCCTGAAAATATCGACTCTGTACATTTTGTGTAAGCTAATGTTATCACTTGACGGTAGCAAGCATTAGGCGGACTAAAAAAGAACTAAAACAACAGAAAAGTTACGCCCTACTGCTTGAAGTTTAACCTTTTAATATACCATGTCACCCCTGAATCAAAAGTTATGGTCACGAGAATAAAGAAAATGATCACCAATTACAGTAGTGGTGCTTGACTGTAAAACAGATTCTCCTTACGAGCGCCTTAAGAGATGTATAGAAAACAGTATGAAGAATATGCTTACTGATGTTAGGGTGTAAAGTGCTTAAACTTGATCAAAAGAGAAGGAGCAATGACGTTACAAAATTTAAATTGGTAGTACGTACGTAGTGACCATCCACTGACTGAGGAGATTTGGGAACGAATGGAGTCCACTTGATCTCAACAGAACTCGCGTTAACACGAACCACAGTTATATCAGTTGGTGGTTCAAAGAGGCGGTTCTGTCCAGACAGACCGAAAATGGAAGGACTCATCGGCCCAGGCCCCTCGATGTTCTCGGTTCGAATCCTAACCTCATATTCTTGATTGGTTAACACTCCTCTCTCTAGAATAAAATTCAGATCACATCTATCAAATGAAGTTTTATTCGTCCAGGGAGCGTTTGGAGTATTTGGACGATAAAATACTCTATACTTGCAACCAGCTCCACCCCAATCTAATGGATCAAGAGTCTGGGGAAAAAAAAAAGAACTAGAAGTTAGCACTCTTGACTTTACTATGATTATCATAATTATGACAATACACCATGATTATGATAATTATGATAATTACCATCATTGCCATAATTTAAATAACAATTGTGATAATTATCATAATTTGTTATCATTCTTCAAAAGAGAAAATAGACTTGGGTAAGGGAAAAAACCTTTCTTTACCTCAATTATAAAAAAAAAAATTCAAAAACCAAGTTTATTTCCGTGTCAGCTGAATAATATATATATATTCAATGTTTTCATTTCTTTCTAATTAAAATAGCGACGTTTTAACGACTGGCCAGCGGACTCTCCGAAAATCTGTCTGTATTCAGCGGTAACCAATACAAAAACTACCTTGGCAACTAAAGAAATTTTCAAAATAACATATTTTTAAAAACATCAAAAAGCAGGTTCTTCTTTAAAATTATCATTCATATCGGAAAATAGTGCACTGCAATACGTTTCAATTACCGACGGAAGACGCAATAAATTTTTTAAAAAGTAATTAACATTATGAGGTTATTTAAATTACCGTCCAATTCATCTGCAATTCTCCGTTAACTTTTCTAGGAACAATCTGCAAGTTCTTGGGATGTAAAGTAGGACCTAAAACAAGAACACAGGAGCTTTCAATCAAAATGTATCGGAGAAAAATTTTCTTCCCCTAAGAACCCGAATGATAAATCTAATGATGGGTAACTGATGAAGTGGCTGATCCACTGGCGCAATAACTGTCTATATTTTTTTCTGAAGGTTGGTCGACCCATGGTCATGTCAGTCTTCCAAATTCTCGGCCTTTCGATCAGTCTGGCTGTCTGCCTGACAATAGAAAGCTTTCAAGCAAAATTAAATTAACTGATGTTATCGTACTTACGTTTGCTCCTAGTGATACAAAGAGGTTTCTCCAGGGACAGGCCAGGAAAACCAACACCGATTTGATTTTTAGCGCGGATGCGAAAATGAACTTCTGTGTTTGGCTTGAGATTGTTCACGGCATAAGAACGAACAGAACTGGGAACTTCAGCCAGTTTAGTAAAAGGAATGAGTGTAAATTGTTCTAAAGACGCATATCTAGCGGACCATTCAATGATAAAACGATCGGGAGGTAAGAGATCAGAAAGAAGCCTGACATCCCATGTCAGGATTGTGGAAAAGTTTGAACAGTTAGTCGTCTTCACATTCACAGGAGGAAGAGGCGCTCCTGAAATTGGAAAAAGAGGAGGCACATAAACAGTCATTGGCAAACTCAATTCAAGCATATCTCCTCCTAAGAAGTATTCCATCAGAAGCAACCTTGTTGGCTCAAAACCTGACTAGTTTCAGATTAGAGATATTCTTAATTGAGTGTCGTAAGTGGTTCGGGACAACATTGTTTTTGCTTTTCTTCGCTCTGTGATTGGTCAAAAAAACCACAGCCATCATCTCAACCAATCAGATTCAAAACTGAAAAAAGAAACATGATTAGGTCACCCATGCAAGCTGCTAGTTTTTCTATGAAATCTCATTGGTTCGTTGAGATATTTTCCTCTGCGCTGCATAATTACCTATCGTATAAAGATGTTGTCACCCTGAATGTCCCCACCCTAAAGTTACTGAAATCACAATGCATTCCCTTGGTAATCCGCTCCAAAGAGCGTCAAGCAACTACCTCCAAAATACCCTTGGGCTGGTACCTATAAGTCAAACCTTCAAAGAATTGTAACCTTACAGAAACGTGCGTTAAGAATAGTAAGCAATTCTACATACATTGCCCATACTGGCCCTATTTTAAAGGAACTTAAACTCTTAAAATTTCATGATATCCATTCGTTTCAATTAGGTACTTTTATGTTTTCATTCGAGAACTCTACACTCCCTTCCAAATTCAATAACTTTTTTTTACTGAATAGTCAAATCCACAATTATAATACTAGGAATGCTCAGTCCTTCCGTTTGCCACTGTGCAGAACGAACACCAGGAAGTTTTCAATTTACTTTCAAGGTCCAAACTTTTATAATTCGCTAAATTCTGACATAACTAGTTCTCCCTCCTCCGCTTCTTTTAAAAGAAAGCTTAAGGAATTTCTTCTCTCTAAGTATTAACTTCTGTAAGGCAGTAATTCTTAACTAACTTACTTAATATGTGTGTGCGTGTGTGTGTGTGTACGTGTGCGCGGTCAAAGTTAATTACCATAAGTCCATATTGTAATTCTAATATAAGATTAGTTATTTTAAGTGAGAAAGCCTGACTTGTTATAAGCCTCGTGGTTTCTTTCAGGTTTTCTCGCCATTTATTTTCTGTCATCAATTTTCTTCATTTTTTTTCCATCTGTAAATGTCGTATATGGCAAATAAATATTGTATTGTATTGTATTGTACCCTTAAAAAGGAAACGATTATTAATTGTGGCGAGTTCGCATGTGATGAAGTGTAATTGATTGTCTCAGGGGGTAGTCACTTATACCTCGGAGGTGACTAGACTGTGAAACAACTAGTACTAAAAAGTTGTGTGGTGGATATGAGAGTCCCCCCCTGGGGGAATCCCCTCCTCTTCCCCTCACGTACCTGTTACAACCAAGTACGACACCCTGTAATTCTCACTGACTGGATTCTTCACAACGCATTGGAAGACGCCAAAGTCCTTCACTTTTAGGTTACGAATGGTCAGTATCCCAGAGGAGGAACTAACAGACCATCTGTTCAAAAACTTTAAGCTGAAGATAAAACAAAAAAAAGTATGCTCGTTAAGATACTTGAAATCAGCCGTTTGAATATTGATTTGGGAGCGGAATCCCCTCTTTCGGTTGTACCTGTGCTGAAGTTTCTCTCCGTTGTAATACCAGGTCGGACTGCTCTTTAAGTCTCCAGTTGTGTTACAGAAAAGCGTCACGGTTCCGCCGTGTTTTCCTTCTCTTATGTCATAGAAGGGATGGACTTCCTGATCGTACACCGGTTCTATTTTGTCTGCAGATGGAAAGGGGATAGAAAGGCTGAACAGTTAAATCAAGTCGCTATTATCAACTGCTTTAGACAAAAAACATTTTACGCACTCACTCGATGCAAGCTAACAAGAAAGAGACGAATTATGAAAAGTTCCGCGTCTGCGCAGGCGGTACTAGAAAATACGTCGAAAAAAGTACAAACCTATGACTTTTAGAGTAGTTGTCTTTTGCAGAATCGCCCCTGAGATACCGGCTACACATTTGTAGATCCCATTGTGTGAACTTGAGCGAAGTGATCCCAGTCGTAAAGTTCTATTGTAATTCATATACTGGAACAGATCCCCCGTGGCCACGATCTGTACGTTGTCCTTGTACCAAGAAATGTCAGGTGTTTCACTGGAAAGAGAAACAGGAACGTCCATAAGACGCAGAAATATGACAATCCAGTTAAAAGAAGGAGGAAGGAATATGAAATCAAACATTGTTTGAAATGAAATGGTTTGTGCTGAGGTTGCTCTTGTCTGAAACCATGATTTCCGATTTCGCTCTTGACATAAGTTTTTTCTCCTAGACACCTTTCTTGAAACCTTTCCAAATATTTTTTTTTTTACAGTTTGCTGTATCAGGGTCCTGGCTGGACCTTTGCAAATGCACTGAGTTGCTGCCTTAGTCGATGAAAGAAGAAAATGATTTTATCTCCTTCGTTACTTATTGTAATAAAAGTACATGTGGCAACAAGATTTAAGGAAAGAAAAGGTTGCTGAGTGAAACAAGGCCCTAAAAACTATCAAGTGATCTGACTATTCTGCGTAGTTAACATATAAATGTCCGACCTACCTTCCTCCTGCGGTACAGTTTAGGTAAAACTGATCTCCAGTGGCCAACGTATAAGAACCAGCCGGTGTGGTGTAAAATTTAAGGTTTGTATTTTGTGAAGCTAAACAAAACAAAAATAAATTTAGCATATGTGTTCTCATATTTTTCCGAAACCGAGGAAAAAGTTTGCATTGTTCCATTTATAAACAGCTCACTTTAAACTTAAAGAAGAGGCCTTTGTAACCACCCTCTGGAATGTCACGGAACATTCTCCTCAAAGAGTTGCGTGACAACAATTGCAAAGGGCGCTTTGCCTTGTCCTGACTGGAGGAAAATTATTTCATATTGAATATAGCAGAGTATTTTGGGCAGGAAAAAGGAAAAATAGGCGTAATTCATCACAAAGCAGACCAACATTTTCTTGTTGAAAATTGCTTGGGAAATCGAACCATTTAATGAAGCAGGCGAGATGTAGGGGCTTTTCATTATGCTGTGATAAATAGTATAGAATTCAGGATTACCATTGATCACTGCCCAATGGGTTTACGCAATTGCATTACTATCATTACTGTTACTGTCATCATTATCCAATTTTTTCTTAACAGTATTATCGAACAAAAGTACACAGAAACATAAGATTGGAACACAGCATTTATAAAAACAAAGCTGCCCTTAGACGCCCCCCTAAGGAAGAGGATACCCTTCGGGTTACTCCACCTAGACCTTATGAAACCAGGGTAGTCCTACAATTTTTAAAACCCGTTACACTATAACATCAGTATGAAAATACTCCATACTTTTCGCTATACATTTTCTAAAGTACTGACAAGGAGAATTTGTTTAATAATCATAACCTTCTTTAGTTAATGGTCATCACCTTTATTCCCTTGACCTCAAGTTAATTAAGCTCATCTTTGATTAGGGTTATATTGTTAGGAGAAATTAGATGCTGGTCATTCCTTGGGGCTAAAGGGTTAGAATTCCCCTATGGAAGTGGTTACCCGTGGGTTACTTCCTCTAGACATTATGAAGCCAGGGTGACCCTTAGATTTACAGATTCCTACATCATTGAAAAGTGTAAACAACGTACTCCTCTCACCTGAACTTTTAACGTGCAAAAATATATCCGGGCTTATAAAGTTTCTTGCTCTATGAAGATCTGTTACGCTACATTTTAGGCGACCTCCAGAAGCCATAAAACGATTCACATCATTGGCTGTGACAGGGGAGAATAATAAATCTCCGTTTGGTTCCATGAGTATTCGCGGTCTAAACGAGGAGCTGATGGGAAGGAGTGACATCCCAGGTCTCTGAGTACTCCATGAGTAGCTGACACGGTACTTGTACGAAAGCGACCCACAGGGAAGACGAAAAGATTCATTCTCGACCATACTGACGTTTCGTACACGATAGATTGAAAATGGTCCAACGACTATCAAGAGCAGCAAAAATATATATAGAAGTGAGTGAATCAAGATAATGGTTTGCGGTCATATCGTTCCATGGTCAGATCGTTCCACAAAATAGTCACTTCGTTCTTCAAAAAAGTCAGTTCGTTCCACATATATAATAAATATTTCTTAAATGTTTAAATGAAATCTGAGTACGAGTAGCGATCGGAACACAGACAAAAGTATTTACGGATCTGACTTGGAACGATCTAACCATGGCACTAAATGACAGGATACCAAGATAAAGTTGCTTGAAGCAAATACGGATCGTAAATGTCAGTATCTGAGCAACCGCGCGCCTACCCCTCCCCTAACCCAACATTGACTCTAACTTGTTGGCAGTCGACTGTTGTTGGGTTAGGGGAGGAGTAGTTGCGCAGTTACCCAGGTAATGACATAAAACCGCAGATACCATGTATTAAGTTAACATTTGCCCAATGCCCTATGTTTTTCTCGTCTTCTAAAAAAATAACTCGTATCCAGTGGATGCCTCCATTGGCCCTTCACACCCTGACATCAACATGCATGTTCTCCACACTGATCCTTACAAATTTCCAATGGAACCGATAAGGAGAATATGTTTACCAATCAAGAGCTTCTACAAATGGCAATAATTTCCTTCATTCTCATGACCATAATTTTTGATTAAGCAGTCATACTGTGAGGAGAAATTAGATGTTAGTCACTCCTTGTATTAAGTTTAGCGGATGCGGGTACAGTTTAAGATTACTCTACGAAACTTTTGAAATGTTAATCGCGTTGATGACGTCCAAATCAGCTAACTTCAAAAGGTTGTCAATTACTATTTCTCTTTTATTTTGGGGTTAACAGTTTACTATCACTGAGCCGTAAATTGAGCCTACATTTAGCAGTAATAAGACTACATTTTTAAAATTATATTCAGTGCTTTACCTCGACTTGTTGCTTACCTGAAAATTTTAGGCCAACTTTTTTACTAAACATAGTACCAAAGGCGTTCGACATGAAGACCTGATAATCGCCTTCATCAGATAAAATTCCAAACCTAATCCCCAAATCTCCATGTCTTGTTGTCAACACGCGGTCGTATGTAGGTTCCTGATTCAGTCTCAAGGCAGAGCCATTCAAACTCCACTTAAAGGTCTTCGGAAATGGCGTGTTCGATGCGACTGTTATAGCAACTGGTCCATATTGCCTCTGTGCATTGTAATTAGTTAAATCTGGAGGAAAAACGGCCGTGATATGTGGAATAAGATCGCGATCCACAAGCTGGGAGACACCAATCCTTGCCGTGAATGTAACTGAAACAAAAAATTTTAACAGACCTTAGAAGAAAGATAATAACGGAAGAGAAAAAGAGAGAGCCTGAGGTCAAGTTCTGATTTGATTAGTGACCAGTCATCGTTTATCACCCAGGGGGGAGGGGGCGGAGGAATTTTGGAGGGCTCACATGGTTTCCAGGGGGTATACAGGGATGTATTAGTCGTCGTCAACAGAGTTTAAAAGGAGGACTACAGCAAAATTGAGTGCAAATTAACTGCCAATGAGGAGAGGTCATGAAAATACTACAAAGCCTAACTTGGAGATCTGAAAAAATTATTGTGACACAACCAAATTCCCCCTCCCCTCCCATGTAATAAATAATGACCCGTGCCTTGATCAAAAGTTTCGTTATTGAGACAATTAAGCAAAGATTAACTCGTTCAAATCTGTTCCTTTTTTCCGGACGCAAAGATGTTCTATGTCAGCCAGCTTTTATTTGCTTGGCAATGAAAAGGAAAAAAAATGCCCTCTCCATGAAATAACGGTTACTTAAACTAGCCATATCTTGGCACCTATCACCTCAGTATGTTTTTAGAATAAAGACAACAAGGGGGTGGGGAACCTTACCAGAAAAAGTTACAATTTTGAATAGGAACACTCCGAGAGACCCTCACCCTTTAAAAAAAACTAGCACTTTGAACCAAACGGTCACTTTTGTCATCAAAGCAGCTTTGACCAGCACTTAATGGAATAAAATAATTAAATGGTTATATCCTTCTGGCTGCTTTCTATGGCCTTTTCTGTACCACCACAAATAACTTTCTGTCCCTCTCTTTCATTAAAAGGTACGCCCTTAGGACGAGGCATTCCTGTAATCTCAATTATAAAAAGCAAACCTTCATCCCAGACCCCCCCCTCCTCCACTCTCTGATAGATATTTTTCTAGTGGCAGAAATGTGAATGACAGTACTTACGGGATGAGCAGTTTCGACCAGTGAAATCTCCAACACAGTGGCACACGTAGGTACCTCGAGTATCGGAACAACTCCCAGAATTTTGACAGGGTTGTAATGAAGCGCATATCTGTTGTCCTGCAACGGCATCATAAACAAATTTAAATCGTTAAAGGCTACTGTACTCAGCTCGTCCAGTCAATCAATCATCATTGAATCATCGTACTGTGACACAATCAAAATCATCCAACTCTCTCCCCCAGGGGATAAATAATGACCGATCCCCAAAACCAATCGCTACTCCTCACCTTTCATTACAGCCTGATTTTCAAACGAATTCTCCCTATTTTCTGATGGAAAGAAATATTTATATCTACTTCCTCCTCCCCCCAATTTCCTCTGACCGTCACCTAAGGTGCGAGGTTGCCAAAATAGAGTCAAAAGGTGCAAGGGAGATTTGAGGTGACATTAAACCACTCTGGGTATGAGGGTGAGAAGAAGGCAGCCCGTCCAGCCCTATCCTTGTGCAAATGGGGATATTCATGTTCATTTGTATACAGTTTGACATGTTTCTTTCAAAATACTCACCATTTATATTCATTGCAAACGATAAAAGTAGGACCAAAAGGTGAACATTTTTAAGAACAGGTGAGCTTCCTGTCATTGGCTCCATTTGTAATTTGGTCCAACTAAGAGGAAAGCGGAAAAGGTTAACTCTAATCATTAATACAAATGTTTTACCAAGACTCTCAAGAAGTCTCCCAAAAATTTCTTCGTTCGTGAGAAATGAGAGCCAACGCCTCTGTGTTCTTAGCTTTGACGGCTGGGAGGGGAGGGGGGGGAGGAGAGAAGATGGGTGGGGAGTGGAGGGGAGGGAGGGGAAAGGAGGGGAAACCCTAAAGTAATGGGTTATTAAGATGAAATCTTAAGTTATAGTAGAATGTATTCTCTTAGTTACTCAAGAAGTCGGGAGATACCACATTTACGAATTTCGTTATTTTCTATGTCTGAACGTGTAAACTTTTAATAGCCGATTTTCTCGTCGGACAACTGAATATTCTACTTATATAAATACGCCGCAGAGAGAGCTTTGGGTCAAAGTCACGCGAAGTCACGATAGGGGCGAGACAGTCAGAACATTTCTTTAACTCAGTGTAAGCACAATCTTTGATTACTTAAGTTTTGTTTAACACAGCTCAGAGATTGCTGTAGAAAATATTCGCCGCCTTAAAGCCGAGTAGCTACTTGGTTTACCTGTGCTTATACAGACTGACTTTATATTCAGTAGTGACCGAGGGGGGCATTGGGGCCTATTAGAAACCGCAAAACTGTAGAAAAAATCATCCAAAACCGAAAAACCGAAAACCGCAAGCAAAACTGTCAAAACCGATACATTTTCACACCCCAGTTATTAAAACCCTGATCGATCCGATACAGTGATGACAAGTGGAGCATACAGCTGAGTAAACTACAATAATTTCATTACAGGATTTATGAGTGCCATGGACTTGGCATTCGCATCTTCTAGTATCTATTTAAATTAACAGCTGCTCTCTCGAGGACCTCGAGTGTGGTCTCTGCGGACTCAGCAGCTAGTAATGAAGCCTAGTTAAATTAGGGAAATTCGCACAAAAGTCCTATATATATACCGCAAATATATCCCGTTTATTTGCCACATTGCAGAATTAACTGAATTAAAGGGCTATAAATTAACAACCATCAAATAATTAACACTACTACTACTATAGAGACAATAAAAATATCATAAATAATTATTTGCATATTCACATATTTACTAGCGAATGAAATAAAGGAACCTGAACGCTGGGTCCGGCAACAACTCCTATCAGCGTAAACAATATTTCTATTGTTGTTGCTGGCCCGCAAGTTGTAACTGTGACCACTAGATGCTGTTCTCGGCTTGAGGAAGTTAATGGGGTGGTCTTTTTTAGTCATCTTCTGAATATATTTACAGCAGAGCTGAGTTCGTCTTTGTTTCAAGCTGCTAAGGTCGGTAGCATTAAGGGCATCTAAGTAACTATGGCATGAATAGATAAAATGTAGTGCCCTTTTTTGAATTGACTCCAGCTTATTTAAAAGAAATTCAAATAGGATTGCAATTTTGCAGTCGCAAAAAGCTATAGCTCTGGAAAGTTTTCACGAAAATCCCTAATCTAACATTTCCATTTGCTAAGACCTGAAAGTTTGGAGATTCTATTGGAATGTTGAATCAAACAGTCACATATGGCCTGTAACTTGGTCACCAACTTCGAGGTGGCGTTGATAAAAAAAACTCTGGCAATGTTCCGTGCTTAGCCGTACCCTCCCCTCCTCCCCTCCCCCCTCCCCCCACCTTAGGGGAGGTGGAGGGTACGGCTACACCTAGGCTACCTGGGGATCCCTGGTTTGTCACGCATTCCTCTCGATAACATTTGCGTTTAGCAGCTATTCGAGGTCAGTGGAGGCGCGTAATTGCCGCTCAGATCACAGGCGGCCCAAGCTCCAGCTGTGAGATGATCATCTTACGCAATAACGGTCATGGCGGAATTATAAGAGTTTGTATGGGAATATTTACGAGCGCTCTAAGGAATAAAAAAATACGTCAAATTCTCAAAAAAAATACCTCACCTCGCTTCCACAGCGCAGTGCTTGTTATCTGACCGCTTACTTTGATGAAAAGAACCCATTTGAGCGAGTTGTTCATTTCGAGGTTTTCAACGCACATAAGAAAAGCCCAAGGTTGAACACTCCATTTCCGAACGCCTGATCCGAGAAGCGAAAAATCCAAGCTCAAAATGACCGGGCGGCCACAAATCCAACACAGAATGCAAGCACACATACTGTAGTTTCATTTCAATTCACTACAAACTCAATCTTCCCCGTGCAACCGACGCTAAGCCGCAGTTTGCTTCAAAAATTTCCGGTTTAGAGGTTTCTAACAGCCCGCGACCACATCAACCTTGACACACGACCGTTGAAACCCTACCTCCTTTTCAAACTGAGCCTCGCCAGGGACCACACCGTCCGTTATTATCAATAAATTATTTTAGAACCACGGGTCCCCTCAGGTCGAAATCGATCAAGAGGCTATTGTTTCGATCGGCCAATCGAATTCGCCTTCGGAAATGTTTACAAATGTGTGATTATTTTCGTAGTCAGAGGAAAATCTGGCAAGGATTTATACCAGTATTCAATTTAGTTCTATCTGGACATACCTATTTTAATTCTGCCAACAAGACAACTGTTATTTTGCTTCGTCCGCACGAGAATGTGAGTCACAATAGAACAAGTCGCTCAGCCATGTAAGTATTCACTTTATTCTTAGTTGCCGGCTACGCTAAATTTCGCACTTCGTCTATGTGTTTCTTGCCAAGTGCCCTTGTAGATACTTATTTCTTTTACTTTAGGATAAAACAATAGCCTCTCGATCGATTTCGACCTGAGGGGACCCGTGGTTCTAAAACAATTTGGGCTTTTCTTATGTACGTTGAAAACCTCGAAATGAACAACTCGCTCAAATGGGCTCTTTTCATCAAAGTAAGCGGTCAGATAACAAGCAATACGCTGTGGAAGCGAGGTGAGGTTTTTTTTTTTGAGAATTTGACGTATATTTTTTATTCCTGAGGGCGGTCGTAGATATGCCCATACAAACTCTTATAATTCCGCCATGACCGTTATTGCGTAAGATGATCATCTCACAGCTGGAGCTTGGGCCGCCTGTGCTCAGATCGAAGAGAAACCGGAACCCAAATAGGTCAAATAGGAAAAACCAAAAACCGCATCGGATATAAAATCCGAAAACCCGTTAGTATTTTTTGCGAAAACCGAGAACCAAATGTTAAAAAACGGAAAATCCGCAAACCGCAATGAACTCCAAAACCGCAAAACCGAAAATCCCAATGCCCCCCTCGTGACCCAGTAGTTTTCTTTGCGATCCAGATATTAAAAATTAAAGTCAAAAGATAACTAAGGAAAAATTGATTCTAAATGGCCAGAGGCTATACCCGTGGCTTTGTTCTCAGTCTTCATTACACGTTTTTATTTCCCGTGCGCGTGTTCTTTTCCTGATCTCACACGATTTAATACACTAATGACATTTCCGCGGTACATCCAGCTTCGCTTTCATTTTGAAAAAAAATTTGCCGACTTCGCCAGTCAGTAATTTCCTTTCATCGAGTCCAACATGTAGCTCACGAAACGCCACTACCCTTTTTTCAAGCAACCCAGCCGTGGATAATAATCGCGTCACTCATCACTGTTATGGTGAAGCAAATATTAAGATTGTGTTCTTCTATAACCAAGCTATTTAAATTCAGTTCGGTGACACAGTCGTGGGGTGCAGTGAAGGTGTCACTGCACCCTATCTTGTATTTTCAATGCAAAGAGGTAATGAAGAAAGTGAAATGGCTTAGTCCTTAGGGGGTCAAGGCTTTTGCAATTCCGTCAATCCTTCGACGTAAACTTCAAGAACAAAATTGTGTGGTAGACTGTTACCCAAACAGTAATTTAAGACAATTGATGAGGAAAATGAAAAGAAAGGCATCATTCATTTGAAAAGTCTTGAAATAAATTTGATCTCATACGAAAAGCAACTCTATAGGTATTTTAACAGTGCTTCTAATTTTAGTTCAGTTGTTTTTCTCGTGCGTTTAACAGAATATCTGCTTTCCATTACTGCAACTGACGTCAAAACAAATTTGAAGTTAAACAGGAAATCACAATTTCTGAAAAACAGCTAAAGGTCTGGGGAATCGTGGTTGTTATGGGCATAGAAAGACGAAGGTGAACGTGTGTCTTGATTCAAGTGAAGCATCAGTGACCTTTGTCTAATTTGATCTGATCTGACACAAATATTGATAATACTATTGTGCACTGTGTGATGATCATTGACTCTCAACATATTCAAATTTTTGCACTCAGATTCTAAACGCCTCGTTTTTGTGCAGAGTAAAGAAATATAATTTTTCGAATTGGTCATCATTCCTATTTTCACGCAAGAAGTCAAATGTTATCAAATTTATGTAAAATATTATAGACGATCCACGCACGAAGGGTTCCATGCAACAACAGTACAATCAGGTCAACAGAGAAACGCATTACACAAAGAAGAAGTACGTTTGAGCACGGTACAAAACAAAACAGGCCTCTTTCTCCCACGCGCCTTTTCTCTGTTTTCTCCCCTCGTGTTACCGTATGAGTTGTGGGACTTTGGTTTTGATTTTAATTATCGATAGTTTCGACCGGATATCTCGTTAGAAATTAAAAGTTTAGCGGTCTTCCAAACTCTCAAAATTCAAATAATGTCTCACCTGAATCATAAAAGGCGCCACTGCCAAGAACTTCTGACACAGTAGACCTTGGTGAGCGGCGCAGGAAGAAAGCACGTTTCCAATGTTCGTTTAAAACCCGTAGATGTGCTATATCATCGCCTTATGACGTCAAGACACTTAAGCATAGCGAGAGGCCTTGAACGATTCGAAAAATGTTCAGCTATTTACACATCATATTTCGTCTTGACGAACTGAGATTAAAGACGAAATGGGGTGACTTTGAAACCAAACCATGCTACGTGATCACCGTTATGCCTCATGAACAAAAATGCTGTCGAAAATGAACGAGCAGTGACACAATATAATGTATTTGCATTTAAATGTTCCCACCTACCCATTATAATTAGAAATCATTGTTTGGACTACGTAATTAATTTCTTCACAAGTAAACCTGAGTTTTCTTTCTTTGGTGGAAACGTAACTAACGTCTCCGAAATATCAGAAGTTGCCAGATAGATTAAGCACGAGCGCCGGGGGTAAAAAAATTAGAAATATCATGCCATAAATCGTGTCAAAATTAAATCCTTGGGGGGGGAATGAGAAGCCGCATACTAATTGCCCACCATGAAATAAAATCTTTCGTCTGAAAAAACGACAACTGAATACTAAAACATTATTGTTCTGGGCTAAGCCGCTCACAGTTTAAAAGATCTATTAATTGGTTTGTTTATCATCTAAAAAGGTTTTGTAATAAATCTTGTTCCAAACGAGGCAGTGATCACATAGGTCATATAGGTCCTTTAATTACAAAATGTAGCCACCTGTTCTGTAGAATGAAAAACCGAATAAACTTAAGACTTAAAGGCTCATTTGCACAATTGACAAAGAAGTCAATAAAAAAGAATAATGATGACAAAAGGTACTTAATAAGCAAACAAAAGAACTAGCCAAAGATTGGCATAGTGAAGGTAAATTTAGAGACGTGAAAAAGGAACCTGCTTCAATTTTAAACTTCTCGGAGTGAAATCTTGTAAGAATCTTAAAAGCAAACCTTACACTTTTGTCTCGACTTTCTTTCCCCTCGTAACAAGAAAATTCACTCAGCGCGGGGCTAACGCTCGAAACGTCCGCTTCAGAAACTCTTTACCGAGGCAAAATTTTACATCATCAACACAGTTCATAAAGCCAAATTATCTATGGAAAAATCCAGTGTGCCTCAATGTGGCTGTCCCCTTTTTAAATTTATTTTTCTGCGCAGTTAACCATGATTAATTTACGAGCCACTTGAAATAGGTCACGGACTAAGCTCTAATGATAAACAATGATGGGAGTGTTTTCCTCAATGTTAAAGACTGTAAACGTGTTCGTCATTCAGCTGTCGAACGAGTAATATCAACCTCACCAAAAGAAAATACTAATCAGTATACAGGTATAAGTTAGAATATAAAAACCAAATTTGCATACAAAGTCTCAACATTTTCGCTTACAGGAGAATAGTATTTTTATACAACGAAGAACGAAGCGAGCCCTATTTCATCCTGAGCCAAACGGAGAGGGCGTGACACCCGTTGAAAAGTAAAAAGATAAGCTAAAAATAAATTTATTTTTATGATGACGTTAGTTGTCAAGGGCTGTTGTTTTTCTTTGAATCCACGCAACAAAAACAACATATTTCGTAAATAAAGGAGAGACTATTCTTAACAGTTTAAAACAGTTTCACTTCTCAAGTTCGCCTAACTTCAGAGACTGAGAGACGGGGGTGTCGAATGATAAATTGTTGTGTGTGCACCTTCAATTAAAAATAATGTCACTCAGAAAGTATTAACCTTGAAAGATGCGAACAAAAGGTTGACTTGGAGGCGCGGCGTATAACTCTTATCTACATCTAAGTATTGATGTTTTAAAAGAGCTGTCATCATATCTACCCGCACTCACCTTGGGCTTTTAGAATAAACGATAACGTTCAAGGTTGATATAGTTTTTTTTTTTTGCGCAGGAATATGTCGTATGTATTGAACTAGCTTTATTTGCTTTTTTCAGGAGAAAATTGTTTGTTATTGTCCGTGGATTGATGAACATCTCCCAGAAAATTTCGTATGCTCAAATATTACGATTTCAAAAATTCTCTCTCTATTTGAAACGTAAATTATTGTGAGGATGCATTTATTAAAAATATAACGAAGGATGCTAGGTGATGAGGATTTTAAGGGGGTGAAAGCTGAATAATGAATACTGAATAACAGATGCACAAAAGAAAGGAGCAATCAGCACTTAGGTTTGAAAACGGAATCAGGGGATAATCCATAACAAAGTCATGCCACTGGAATAATGAGTAACTCACATTTGTTTGACCCGCGAAAACATGTTATGGGGGAAAAAACATCTTATGTGCGTATAGTTTGTAAAAAGGTGTTTACGGGCCTGTGTGACTCCTTCAGCTGGTAAGTCTTCAAAGCTTAGTAGACTCAACTAATATGTATTTAAGGGATTTACCTTTTTGATACGATGTAAATGGGGGGTTCCTTCAGTAAGATGTCGTCGCTTCTTTCTATATATAAGGCTCACCGGCTTCTTCATTAACACGTTACATTATACTTGAAAAGGCATTATCCTCTTCCGTGCATTATTCAAGTTTCATGTTTTGGCGATGTAGCTGTCAAAGATTGGAAAGTTTTACTTCTACCAGATACCACGGGAATAACCGATTATTTTTTTTATCAGCAGTTGAGGGTTGGTTATTAATTCCTTTTAAGTAGCCCTGTGTAGCACCATAGAGGCTTCCTCTTCAATAACGCCTCAAGGCTTCGTGGATGACACGAATAGAGATTTGTGTTTACAAAGGTATCTGTGTTTCAATGCACCTCCCTTTAAAGGATAAAGTTTTTGTTTAATCAGCTGTCGCCGTTGAACACGTCTGATTCAAAAAATGTAATGTTTTTCTTACATTTCAGCCTAAAGTTATTGGTTTCTGCTATAATACTTCGATTTCGTTTATTCTAGTGCAGTATGGTTCCAACAGAAGAACATGTTGGCAATGAATCTTTTTCCATACCTCATTAAATGCTTTAAACCCAGAAGTAATATTTGATGGTGTAATCCAGAGATCGTCCGAGTGAGGGAAGTCCTGAGAAGGAATGTTGTTGGTAGTGGTGACTGACGTTTCGACAACCTGAACGGAAGACATTATCAGAGCCGATAACAACTTCCTTTGCCATCGGTTCAAGAAAATACGTCATCGAAAAGCCTTAAAAAAAAAACAAAACCAACAACTACGCAGGCTATTTTTAATACATCTTCGGGTATGTCGTTTTTCTGGACAATATATTGTTTAATACAGATTTTCCGTTGCATAAACGATATTACAATCGTTGAAAATATGGTTTGATTGAAATTACAATTAGGATTTAAAGCAGCATTATTCTGGCTACCCTGTGGCAGTTGGTTTGTTTAAAAATAACCAGTGAAACCCTGAGGGCAATTCAGTTCAACTCGGAGGAGTCATCAACTTTAATTTTGATTGATTTCCTTGTTGCTGATCTAAAAAGAAAGAGAAGGAAAACGCCTTAAAGACAGAAACAATTTTTAAGATTGCAAAAGCTAACTAGTTAAGCACGTCTAGACTCAAGCCAATTGACCCACCACGCGCCAGAGCTCATTCAGGTGTCCGTAGCCAGCGATGACTGAGAGTTTTGCTACTCCCCGGTAATCTCGTGCCCAGATCCTACCGTGTAACCCTTACTGAAATGTTGGCAGGCGCTTGGCTGTGAGATGTCTGGATACGACAAATTTTCCCCTTTAAATGGGATGCTGGCGAGGATGCTAGTCAGACCATACCCATAGCAACGAAAACAATTGTTTGGCGCTCTAAGACTTGAAAATTTCTTGGATATTTCAATATAGGTCTTCGCGCTCACAGAAAGCTAAACGCTCAAAGACCAGTCCATAAAAGGAAAAACAACTTTTTTGGGTTCATACTAACCTTGTATTGCAGAGATGGGTTCCGCAGCACGTGAGATCACAAACCACCTCTTTATCTTTCATATCCTTCTTTTCACATAAGGTTTTCTTGCATATAGTGCTGATGAAACAGGACTTTGCAAACTCGTGGATAATTTTTCCATCGTTGAGCGTTCTCGTTCTGTGTACTGACATGCAGGTGTCGAAAAAGGACCCACAATTAAGGTTCGCACTGTTACGTGTACAGTTGGCCCAAGACCCCTGTGAGTAACATGTTTGGCATCTTAACGACAGGCCTGAAAACAGAAAGAAGAAAATAAAGAAATATTGATACTTAATGCTGTAGTTTACAGCTCCTCTTTGAGCACGAAACTGAAGGATTTGTGAAAATCACGAGTATCGAAAAGTGACACAACAGCAGCATTTCTATTTTAATTTTTTTTTGGTACTAAAGTTGATGATATTCACATACAAAGATCAGTGTCTTTTTACCGACTAAAAATAATTGATTGTGGAAGATCGCAGGTCACGACCAATTACAGAGCGCGTAGTATTCATTTTATTGCATAACAAACAAAATGGCGCCGAGTTCATGTCGGGAGTTATGAAGAAAAAAAGCTTTGATTCATACCTAGATACGTGGCAGATAGCTGTTAACTTCTAAAGGAGTGTTTGATTTTACATATGAAGCTTCCAGCGATAACGTATGAATCGAGAAGATAAGAGACGACTGTTTGTTTGACCTTTATCAGCTGTAAGTCGAAAATCTTTAAACATGTCGAAATGTTGTATATACAAGTAATTGAATTGTGTTAAACAATCGGTAAAGAATCAATAACACTTAAATTTCTGGAGACTAACAAAATGCTTGCAATGCCCTACCCCTTTAGATTGAAATTTATTTCAGTATGCTGATTTATCCCATTTTAAAGTTTATATAAATCGTTGATCGGAGAAAACCGATCACTACCTGGGCGTTCGGAACATTGAGAAGTTAGTTTCACTAGTACATCAGCCCGAGAATGTCTGAAACATCGTAAAAATGCATTCATTCACACTGTTTGCTCAAACACTTAATAGGAATTTCGTAGCAATAAATCCGTGACTGTTGCCAAACGGGAGCATTACAAGGCTTGTTGCCACAGTTTCCACATTTTCCTTTTAATAATCTTTTTATCTTTTTCTGGATAACACGAGAACATGAAACTTGATTTACGTCAAAAAATAAAACTGAAACACAAAATACCAGGCAACAAGTAATTGTGAAACTGCGACAGAAGAATTGGGTACAACCTTTTTAGTCAGTAATAGACATTCAAACTCCGTTGCTAGCTGGCTATTTGAATGTGCCATCGGTGGTGCGCTCTCTATCCATTAACGTTCTCTACTGTTTTGTGGGTAGTTTCGCCATATTATCTAAGAAGGGATGAAATTTTACTTTTCTATAAATCGGCATTACCTGTGCCCAGTACGTTCAGAAGCAAGAGGCCACAGATGAGAGATCCAACCATTGTTGTGAAGTCTCAAGCAAAACCGGCAAATTGACCAGGTATCTCAATGTAATGGACGTTCACAATGGTGCTAAGACTCTCGCTCAATGATATCTAACCGAGCCTAGTGCATTTATATCTCAATAATATCACGTGGGTTTGTCAGTTAAAACAACTGGCACCGTTTGATCATCAGTTCCTGTTATGTAAGACCTCCCCTCGAAGTGAGCCAGAATAAAATGCCTTTCAAACATGACGCATCAACTCACAAATTCCTAATCATTACCTCACTGACCATTCCTCTTCGCTCATCATGTAATCCAGTTTGTGGGTGGAAGTAATTGTCTCAAAACTTCCTCTGTAGAAGTCCCCTGACTTTCTCCTGAGGGGAAGTGTATTTCAAGTCATTTATATTTTTCGACCCTTATACACGACTTACATTAAATTAAAACACTTATTAGTGAGATTTCGAAACATTATCGACTCAATTCATTTTTTTTTTCTTTAATCTCAGCTACATAATTTTACAAGAAAAACATATTTCAATTTTTATCTTTTCCTAAGGAAATACACGCCTATGAACTCTTCAGTTTGTGGCTGAAATGCGTGCATGCTGAAAGAAACTGTTATAGCAGCGGTTTAAGCGTACAAAAGAAATGGTTTTCAAGGTCAACCAAAGGTAACCGAATACTTTTCGCACGAAAAACTGTACATTGTTCTCGAAAAATGAAATCCTCGTCTTTCAGCGTTATGTTGGTTTTCAAGGAAGAGTTACTCACTTGGGGAATAACGACTTGTACTGACTTGAAAATGTTTTCCAGCCATCTCTGCGCAACTCAAAGACTTCCTTTCAGTTTTACAGGATATTTAAAGATTCCTCAGCCACTAATGTATTCAGTTAACTCCCTTTTCCTTTACACGCAATTGTTTTTGATATCAAACTTTATTACAGTACATTACACTTCAAAGGCGTGTGTTTACACTACTGGAACAAGCAAAAGCGTAGTATTGATCATTATATATTGATCATTATAGGTTTTTACAGGTTTTTATTCCATGCGATTCAGTATTAGCGTGTGTGAATCTCTTTTTTTTTAACCAAATTTTTCACGAGTTCGTAGAGCCAAAACGACAGAGTTTGAAAGAGCTGGCTTAAATGTGGTTCGGGCGCCCACAAAATTGTTTGTTTTTTTTTCTCATCCCAGCTTTCCCAAAGTTTCTCATCATGGATCTCTATTATTCCTTCGCCACGAATTCCACCTCGATCTTTATGCAACTGCTTCCTTTCACCTCTAACTAGTTTTGAAATATGATATTGATAGATTTGCACTATTTTGAATTTACCATGTTTACAATAACGCCTTGTTAAAAATTCTAGCTCTCCAAAGATGATAAGAGAGGGTCCTATCATCTCTAACAACTGAGAGTAACATCAATATTTATCTTATACACATGCTGAGCAGAAGATTTGTTGAAAAAGGCACGTAAAAATAATAAATATAACGTAGCAATTTAAATTAGTTTTGAGACAAAAATCTTGCACCCCTGTTGATTTTCAATGGGGCTGCAAAGACGTAACTTTAAGTGTCAACTTCGCTAATTTTAAGAAACGGATAAAGCTACATATGTCCGTTTCCTATGTCTTATCAATTCATTTCTCTTGCTGCCGTCTTTTCTAAAGCTTAGCCTTAAGTAATTGATGTCAACGGCTGAACTCATAGGTTCGCGCTGAACATAAAGTTAACATCCCGTTTGGGTGAGGGTTCAAGTAAACAGGAAGCTCCATGGATCTTTTTGTTGTGAAAAAAAAGTTTCTTCTGTAAAAAAGGCGAGTGTGGTACAGAGCATCCTTAAGTTTAGTACACTTTTATTTGCTTTTTTAAAGTATTTAAAGTTGAATGGTTTCCTTTAATTTTATTATATAGGACATCTTCGTGATATCTCTTTTTGTCTAGGAGATCATGGGCGTTTGGAATTGTTCTATATAAATCTGTCAAGAGAACATGCATTCTGAATACTCCAAGGAGACAATAAAATAATTTTAGGGATTCCTTAGTCTGATGTTCGAATCCTCGATATCGTTTTCGTCGATCTTCGGAGTTTTTGGCTTCGGGCTCTGAGTGGGAGGGGGGAGGGGAGAAAAGAAAGGACATGGTAAGTTTATAGGTGCGCATAATATTGAATTCACTTTTCTTAAACTTTGGATTTATACAGGCCTTTAAATATGTCAGCTGCCCAAACTGAAGTAGAGTAACTTATTTGCCAAGCACACCGCACCTGTCGGCCGAAGAGGAGAAAGATGTCAATTCCGGACTTGTGGGGTGACAAAACATGGAGATTTGGGGACAATTTTATTTGGACTGGGTCGGTAAAAACCAATAATCCAGCCTTCCTCTTGTTAGAGTCGCGATTAAGTAATTACTTTGAGGCTCCGAAGGAAGTGAACCACAAAGAAACCAATGCTACGACGTTAATCTTAGATACAGATCATAAAATAAAAAAATTAAAAAAAAACCACTTATATTTGATCTTTTTATCAATTTACTGTTTTTGTGTATTAAATATATTTTTACTTTTAATATGTGGATTGTTTCGTCCGTTCGTCCATTTATTTATCTATATTATTTAATCGAGGCACTATGCAAATCTTTGGCTTGTTAGAACTGAAACTGAAGCTATAACCTCACTTCTGATGGAATTGTTTTGCATGACAAACGAGTGCCGACAAGCGGACATTTGTCCCACTGAAAAGCTGTCGGTAAGATGTTAACGCAACTTTTTTTAACAATTCAAACAAAATGTCCCATAATTACTCAGAGTGAAGTCACTGCCTGCAGTTAATTAGTACGTTCAGCTGTAATTTCTCTAGGAAAACAATTTTATTCTAAATACTGGTTTTAATATCCAACCGCAGTAAGATGTAGCAGTTCTATTGTTAGCTCTCTTTCTTGGGTTTGGTTCCATGTGCGGTTTGGCTGAGAAATGTAAGTTGATATCTTTCAGCTTTTTACACGCACGTTCGGTAGGAAATGATAGAATAATTGATCGAACCATGGCAGAAATGCAAAATTTCGTTTCTCACCCCAAAATGATAAAGGAAAAGAAAAAACAGCTTACAACAAACGCTTTCCGTGGTATTCCGCACAATGACAAATAAAAGAATTCTTAACTCAGTCCTGAAAGTAGTTCCAGAAAACATAGCCCGGAAACTTTTTCACCACTATTTCTTGGAATATTTCCTTCCTTAGGACTGAGAACCAGGTCACAAAGTGTTATTAAATTCCAACTTTTAATGATAGGGTCGACGCGCCGTGGAATTAGATACTGAGTGTTAGGTTCGCTTTCGCCTGCTGACCCTGTTTGTAGAACGTGGCGGGAATCGTATAAAGCTTGGTGTACGTAGACGCAAGTTACACAGATTGTAACACTTAAGACGCTCTTTCTAAATCGAAAGATGGTCGCCACAAAGGTATGGGTGTTTATTTTTGAAGCGTTCAACTTTACCTCATTTTTACTGAGGTAACTAAGGAGATTCGACACCAAAGAATGGAAGGGAAGAACACTAGCAATATCCAAGAATTGGAGTACGATCCTCTTGGGCGAACACCATTGCAAGTTGGCATCGAAGTTACTATTGCAGTTTTAATATGTATCGCCTGCATCGTCGGCAACTCCTTAGTTGTGGTCACCATTCATAGAAATCCTCGTCTCAACTCCATCACTAACATGTTGGTTGAGAACCTTGCGTGGACAGACATCATCATGGCAACGCTGCACCTGCCATTTTGGATAGCAAGCATGCGCAGTGGTCAGTGGTTATTTGGTCACTTGGCTTGCAAGTTTGTTGGCTTTTCTGAGCTAGTCTTTGGCACAGCGTCGCTACAAACAATGGCAGGAATTGCAGTTAATCGATATTTCAGCATCGTGAAAAGAAATTTTTTTGTAAAATATTTTTCAGACCGTAAAACAACGTATGTGATTATTATTGCCACATGGGTTTTTCCCGTCCTTGTATGCAGTCCGCCTCTGTATGGCTGGGGAACTATAGAGTTTAGTGGCAAGTTCACTGATTGCACCATGGGATGGTACGTGAAGGATATCTCCTACATTACATTTTTACTAACAGTTGCAATTTTTATAACAATGAGCGTCATAATCTACTGCTATTTCACCATATTCAGATTTGTAAGACAAAGCTCCCGCCAGGTTCAAACTTATAATAGGTTAAGAGATAAACTCTATCATCAGAAGGAAGCAACGACGGAAAAAGAAAAGAAGATAATCAAAGTTTTCGTGGCTGTAGTTTGTGTGTACACTTTGTGCTGGACACCAGTTTGTGTTGTCGGTTTTTGCGAAGTGTTCGGCCACGCAGCCCCCCGTTTTGTTTACATCATTGTTTATTACATGATGTTTTCAAGCAGTTTTTGTAATCCGATAATCTACGGCGCGTTCAATCCACAGTTTAGGATGGCTTTCAAACGAACACATGCTTCCTTGCATATATCAGTGGGTAAACCTTCAAGAAGGTCAAATTCAGCCCGCGGGGAGCCCAGTGGGAATGATCTGATCTGGGCGAGAGGAATAACAAATCTTGACACTGTTCTTCCCAAAATTCAGCAAACCATCGAAATCGAAACCAAACTCTAAGTCGGTCTATATTCTTTTTTATTAACTCAGGTGTTTCATGAGCTGGTTGAATGAGGAAATCAAAACAAGAGAAAATTAAAGATCATAATCTCAGTCTTTTCGAAAATCATTTCTATGGTCGGAAAAACCGAAATCTTCTGACATTAGGTTTCAGATAGCCAACTATTTAGTTACTTATCAGGAAAATCAATCAACTATTGAAAGGGATGCTATAAAGAAAATTGTCAGCAATAGGAATCATTTTCTTGTCGCAAGTTCTAATAGTCACGGTCACATACTGATTGAGGTTTCTATCCTTTAGAATTTGTGGAAAATAGCATAAATGAGAACTCGCCATTATCTATCGTGGAGGCACATTTAAAGGATATTTCATATATATATATTTATTTTAGTAAACAACTATTTTCTGAAGTGGACGTTTCTGTTGGTGGATATTTACCGAGCCATGAAGCGGTGAGGTGAATATTCATCACTGACCACTGAAACTGAGGTAAATAGTTGTCTTGATATCTACCAAAACGGTGAGAAAATATAGCACAAAAAGATGATTTTAACTCATTTATTCCTGCAACGATAAAAATGTTTCCGGATGCAAATCCGGGGAGAGATGTTCGGAGGTGAATAGCAAAGGACATTTGGAGTTAAAGTACTCAACCAGAGCGCGCCTTAAAGTTACTCACTGTTTTAATTTATACCAATCATTGTTAACGGTATATTTTACAGTTCTTGGTTGTTAGCTTCTCTCCATTGCATGATGGTATTGGTTTCCTTATCTTGTGAATGAAAAAGGGTTCCTTCAACAACATAGTTGCCGTGAAAACCTCTTGGATTTAAAAATAACGGGACTTTGACGAAATGAAGCAAAAGCTGCCTACTGGTATGAAGTTTCAACGTACTCAGTTGCACACTAGATAGAGATAACAAGTAGATTCTTTATTATTCCTATCTTTAACACCCATTTGGAGAGTCGGCAGTCGTTTATTATGTAAAACAATTCCATTAGATAAGAGGTGATTGCTTCAGTTTCAATTTTAACAAACCAAATATTTGGATAGTGCTTCAACTAAATAACATTAATAAAAAAGTGAATAAACGGGCAACACAATCTAGATATTAAAAAGGAAAAATATGCGTAATATAAAAAAAACAATAAATTGTTAAAAATATGAATTATGGGTGTTTTTCAATTTCATGTATCTAAGATTTCAATTTTATATATCTGAGATTTATTGTATTTTAGATTAACGTCGTAGCATAAGTTTCCTTGAAGTTCACTTCTTTCGGAACCTCGAAGTAATTACTTCTTTGCGACTCTAACAAAAGGAAGGCTGGTTTATTAGTTTCACCGACCCAATCCAAATAAAATGTCCCCAAACGTCTCTGTTTTATCACCCCACAAGCCCTGCATTGATATCTTGCCCCACTTCAGCCGACAGACACAGTGTGCCTGGCGAGTAAGTCACTCTGCCGCAGTTTCGCCAGTTTACAAATTTTAAGGCTTGCACAAATCGGAAATTTGTGAAAAGCTATTTTCATTTCACGTGTACCTGTCAACTAACCGTGTCATTCCCTCACCCTCCCCCCCGTCTCCATTCACTTAGACCCCAAAGACAACAATTTGACGGAAACGATATCGATGATCCGAGCATCCTAAAACTGTTTAATTATTTTTCGAGTAGTCTTTCTGAAAAAACAGAAACACTGACAATGTCACTGGCTTTTATTGTTTGGAAAAAAAATTGATAACGGACAGAAAAACTCTCAGAAAGAAAAAAAACAACAAACAAAACACGAGACATAATATTATTCATACACGACCTACTCAGTGAAATAAACCCATTGAGCCAACGCTGCAAATGAAAGTCAGCGGTTATTTTATTGCATCAGTTTTGCACATGGTGAATTTGTTGAAAATATTTTTGCTTCTTATAAGTTTCCTTCTTCGTCAAAATGCCGATCAGTTGTAGATTTTACAAACACAAGTACCCAGAAATCGACGATGTCGTCATGGTGAACGTTCGAAGCATCGCTGAAATGGGAGCATACGTGAATTTGCTGGAATACAACAACATTGAAGGAATGATTCTTTTGAGCGAATTGTCAAGGAGGAGAATTCGTTCGATAAACAAACTGATCAGGGTTGGAAGACACGAGTGTGTGGTGGTTATTCGTGTAGACAAGGACAAAGGTTTGTTGGTCTTCTCTTTTTGTAAATTTCACAATCAGAAACAAATATTGCATTTCTTTACGTTGTTACTTGCAGTGCATGCGCATTGGGGACGTCCACCAGAAATTTATAAGCTTTACTAGATAAAGAAGACCTTATTGACCCTGAGTATCGTGGCTATTCTACCATTTCAGAATAAACCTTATTGTTTTCGAAGTGATTATGATCATCCCAAAAATGTAGGCATTAGGAACATTAATAGGAAGTGTAAATGTTGTCATGGTTTCTGGTGCATGTGCATCGACGTAAAATCCATCAGTCATTAACCTTAAAATAACTCTTCTTTTTTACTATTCTCTCAATAAAACTATTATTATTTTTGTTTGACTATTTGATATACTTTTTTAGCATCATGAAGCAAATGAAACAGAGTAAATCTGTGTGAACATAAGATACAAATACTTTTCTTTCCTCTCTGTATAACACAACTGTTAATAATGACAATAGAAGTCAATCACAGACCAGTCGTTTCCCACAGATGTTCAAATTTCATAGAAAGCAGAAATACAATATTTTCTAGTCTGACTTTTTAACTGATGTCCAATAATTTGACAGGATATATTGACTTGTCCAAGAGAAGAGTCTCACCAGAAGAAATCAAGAAATGTGAGGAAAAGTTCACCAAAGCTAAAGCAGTAAGTCTCATCAATAGTAGTTTGAACCCTTTAACTCTCAGAAGTGATTAACATGTAACTTCTCCCTATAATATCCATACATTATTAAGCAAACAGGTGATGGGAATACTCAAACTTATCAGGTAGAGGTTATCTTGATTTTACACCAAATTCTTGAAACTTATTTGGAAGGAAATATGTAGCAGTTAGAGGAGAGAATTTGCAATGAGATCTGGGAGTTAAAGATTCATCTCTTGAGTTGATTTTATTGAGTAATACTGGATAATTGCCATTGTGAAACATTAATCTGTTTTTAGAGTTTATTAATTCAGTCTTAACCCCATTTTTTCATCTGTTCATTTTGTTGCTTTAGGTGTACAGTATTCTGAGGCACTGTGCAGAGATCTTAGGATATGAGACAGATCGTGAGTTAGAGGAGCTGTATGAGAAGACAGCTTGGTATTTTGATGAGAAGTACAAATCACCAGGGAGTTCATTTGAAGTGTTCAAACTAGCTGTTGGGTGAGAATATTTTAAACACAAATTGGTAGCTGCCAAGTGGCATAGATGGTACATTCACTAAGGATGTACTACAAATATTAAGAATAAAAGCTATAGGTATGCAGAACACAAAAGACTACAGTACCTAATCAACAATGGTTTCTGCAACACCAATAGTTTGCACTTTTTGTTTTCGAGGAGTGCTGTATTCAGAACCTTGAACCCTGATCTCCTTTTCTAAAAAACAATAAATGTGTCTGGTTTTCCTATCAATTAGGGAAGCAAGAAAGGATTTTTTACAAATATAACTTGTATCTAGCTCTAAGATGAGGGACAAATAAAATAAAACTTCAGAGAACTTTTTGCTGGCAATTATATTGCTTATGCTACCTGGCTTTACCAAGAGTACATCATGATGAATTGACCCAGGCTGGAACCTGGGTCCTTCTATAAGATTAATAAGGTTATAACATGCCTATGTACTTCTGCCCTAAGATTAAATTATTTTAATTCATTTTAGGGACCCAAAATTACTAGATGAGTTGGATCTTGATGAAAAGACCAAATCTACCTTACTGTCTAACATAACACGAAGGCTTACTCCCCAAGCTGTCAAGATCCGTGCTGATATTGAAGTGTCATGTTATGCCTATGATGGCATTGATGCTGTGAAGAACTCCTTGTTAGAAGGACTGAAGTGTACATCAGAAGATGTTCCTATCAAGGTTGGTGCACATTAGTAGGAGAGTGGTAGATGTTGTCAGGGGCATAGCCAGGATCTTTCAAAGGGAAGTCACACTTTGTCAAACAGAGGGTACTCACCAGATTGTCATGTTGACTTCCATGCCATGTTTTACTTTAAAATAATTTTAAAGAAAAGCTCACAAAGGGGGGGTCACAGGCACCCCTGAACCCCCCTGCCAGCTTCACCCTTGGTGGTTCTTTATGGTTAGCACCCTAGACTCACGAGTGAGGGAATTTGGTTTCATAAACTGAGATTATGATGTAAATTGGCCATTGTTAAGAGTTTCTAAAGCTGACTTTCCAAGCACTAGTCCCTTGTCAGAGCAAATGACTAAGGGTCAATGCTTGAAATGTGATACTGCTCATGGTTGCAGCACCATAGTTTCTTTAGTGACTTACCCCCTTTATTCTTTTGACAAAGGAAGATGTTCAGGGCCCAGTTGTTTGAAGGCCAATTAACGCTAACTCAGGGTTAAATTTTAAACTAGGTTTCTATTTTTCTCTGTTTAAAAGCCAGGGTAGGAGAGGGTTGTGGTTGCATGTACCCTTAATGGACTAGTATCCTATTCAAGGATAGTGGTTGTACTTCTAGCACTTCGATACAGAAACTAAGATAAGCTTTGGCAGGAAGAGCCAACAGGCTGATGTTTCAAAGGAACACTTAAGTAAAAGTTTTGTTAGATGACTGGAGATTTTCAGTCTGATTAGTTAAGGAATTGTCTACAGAAAAGTTTGGCTTTGTGTGTGTAATAAGCTCCCTCACTTACTTTGGAGGAGTTTCCTTCTTTGCTATTCTTTCTTGTGATTGAGACTGAATACAGAAGCCCAGACTTTGCATATGACTGATGGGATGGTTTGTTGTAATTTGTAAATAACTGAACTAAATCTGGCTAATGTAATGCTTGGCATCAGTGAAGATACCTGAAAGTTATTCAAAATACAAATACTCTTCACATTTAAGCAGGATAATACAGCATAATCACTTGAAGTTGTCCTTTATCTTTTTAGATAAATTTGATAGCAGCACCTCTTTATGTGATTACAACAACAACCTTGGATCGTGATGAGGGACTCCAAGCTTTGACAAATGCTGTGGATGCCATAAGAACTACGATCAAAAAATATGGAGGAGATTTTAATGAAAAAGCTGCTGTAAGTTGAAACTTCTTTGTTCTTGAATATGAAATACCACATGCACCTTTGCCACCTAAAAATGAAAGAAAAGGTAGATATTTTACATTTGAGAGTTTGGGGATGTCACCATCTGTCTGGTATCTTGCAAGGAAGTAAGAAGTATCAGACTGGGTTAGGATAATCAGTTGCTTATCAATTTTACCTTTTGTGTGACAATGATGAAACTAAGGTTACCCTTAGCCAGGGGTTACAGTAACTTTTTCCATAAGCAGCTACTGATGGTATAATTAGGCTTCTGTACCTTAACTTAAGAGTGATGAGCATCTAATTTCTCCTTGCAAAATCACCTCTGAATCATACATTAAGGTCAGAGAATAGAGGAAATGATCACCAACTTAAGAAGCTCTTGATTGTTAAGTCTCCTTGTTAGCACCTAAGGAAATGTATGGAGAACAGTATGGACAAGAGGTATACTGATGTTAGTGTGTTAAGCATTAAGGTGCAACCCAAACATGAAAGCCTGCTTGTAGGATAAACAGCCTGTGGTGAGAGGTCTTAGAGGTAACAATAGACAGCTGGTAACTGGCTTTTATTGAAATGCCTGCCTAGGCTATGCCCTGGAAGAAGTCACAAGCACTCCTACTTTTGAAGGAAATAAATCAGAATCTTATATCTTTCTTTTTCAATACATTTGCAGCCAAAGGTTGTCACAGAGAGTGACGAGGCTGAGCTTGCCAAACAAATGGAAAGATTAGAAAGAGAAAATGCTGAAGTAGATGGTGATGATGACAATCCTGATGAGGAAGAGATATCAGAAGAGATCCATTAATTATCAAATTTCTCCAAATTCTGTGCCAAGCTTTATACTTTGAGTTTGTCATTTCCTCAGTGTTTCATTTGTGAAAGAAAACTGACAAAGTTGCAGATGATAAAACAGCTGGATTCTTTTTGATTTAGTATAGATAAGTCCTCATCTTGAATATAAGGTGGGTGTGGTCTTGACTTTGACTCCAGAGAGGCTTGGTTAAGGAGAATTTGCAATGTAGTCAGTCATGGATGACTTCACATGATAACTGCTTTATTTGCAGATCTTTTTTAGCCTAATCTCATCAACAGTACTTTCTGTCAGTCCATCAGGGCTTGCTTGTGCATGGCCTTTAAAATATTAGTAAATTCCATCTTATGTAAAGAACGAAACATATAAAGTGAAATAAACAGAGAGTTCCAACAAACTGACAATTCTCCATGCAAACAAGTAATGGATGTGGATCAAAATGCTCAGAGTTCCTCATATGAGAAGAAAGTAACATTTTTCATGGAACTATAGTAGAGAAACCCAATATTCCTTATCTACCCTGGTCTTGCGCAAAACCTTTTGATGGTAAGTTTTCTGCAGTTGTATTTCCCTAACCCAAGTTAGAAAAGGTTTGAGGTAGCCAGTGGTTTCCTTGTGTAAAGCATCAAGAAATATTGTAATGACTGTTTACCATCAGAATGAAGCAGGCTCATATTAGTCAGGTATGAAACAATCTGTAACCAATTATAGTCTGTGAATGTCTCTTGCAAACTGAGTTTCTACATATGTTGTTTATGATTGCATGACAGTTGCAAGGCAGCGGATCACCAACAAGGTTCCTAGAGCGTATTTGGTGCCTTAAGTGGTGCCTTTTAAGTGCCTTCTATGCAATAACAACCATGGTTCACAGGCTCACTTTGCTTTCGGTTTGGGTGACCTGTGACAAGGTATGCGTGACAATTCACTAGAGTCCATGCCTCCCATCTCTCTCGACCACTTCCGCTTAGGAACGCAACTTTAAACGGAATGCAGTGGGATCTTCAGATTTGTCGCGATTGAACTGTTTCTTTAATAGGCGAGGATCTCCAAATAGGTACGATATACCTACTCCTTTTTTGTAAAACACTGTCGGCGGAATAATGGGGAGCCTTCGCCCAAATCGCTCTTGCATTCTTGCACTTTCAGCATAATTGACAAATGCTTTAGGTTCTAGAAATCCTAACCTGATGGCATTTGTTATTCGTGTTTGTGTAACGCTAAGTATGTTTACATTCGATTGAAAAGCTTCAAAATTCTCCCGTGCATTTGAAAATTCACTTGACATGATCTCCGACAAGTGCAGTGCATACTGTGCCCAAAGTGTTTGATTGGAAAGATAACATCTATCCTAAATGCCCCGAATTCCTGATTCCTGGGGTGATTAATTCGATGCATTTGTATCATAGGTGTGAAATCTCCGAGGCTATCAATTTGGCTATTGTAGTTAGCAAACGATAATCCCTAGTCACTATCACCTTCCCAAAGCATTTCCGCAGCTGCAAACTGTTAAAGTACAGTTTTATTTGTGAGTACTGTAGAAGAGAAGGTCTGTTTGGCAACGAGCAGACATGTCTATATAAACACTGCTGCAAAGTACCAGTCAAAATCCTAGTAGAGTCACTGAAAGGGGGAGGAGACCGGGTAGGTTCCTGGGGTAACAAAGGGAGGGCTAATGGGAAATCGAAACAGCATGCAGGCAGTGGTGAAATTTTGCTTATATCATCATTGTATGAACTGTCAAAATCGATCAAACGTGATCAACACAGGTTGCAGAGTGGTGCTGGTAATGACAAATTTAGTGGTCTCAGTAACCCTGGTTAAGTTAGGAAGTGAGGTCCTAATGTAGTGTAAAACATTGTGATTCAAACTTTTTATGGAGTCTGCACATGCTCTTAATTTGTTTACAAAATATTCATTCTGTAAGCAGCCCATCTCCCACCAATCCAAATACTTTGATCAACTTATCTACAAATGATTGTTGTATGGAAATCTAAACTGCAGCTTTCATTGGATGTTTTCCTTGATAGTAAGATGAGGAATCAAAAGTCCTGTAGGAGAATTGCTATCAGTTCATGGGTGAATTTGGAGGATGAAGAAGTATGACATGACACCTCCCTCCCTCAGTGTTTTTCTAGTAGTTTACTTTTTCTGACATTGGATCCTAAGAGTTGATACCAGGGAGTTTAAGATCTCAAGACATCAATGCTTGGGAAAATTTCACCTAAAAAAGGAAATAACCATTTGTCCTAATAATTTCATTGGTGGGTCAAGGTATTTACAGTTTCTGATGGTGCAAGATCTCCCCCCTAACAAAACATGTGATTGCAGCATTGAGTTCCAAGTAAAAATGTGGCTTAATGGCAATCAAGGTTTCTGTTCAAAGAATACATAAAAATTGTGATTTCATATTGTTATTCTGCATAGGATGGTTGAAAAGTGTCTTCTGCAGAGCTGTTTCTCTGCTCATCAAATCTTTTGTCTCGCTGCCATGAAGTTGCCTTTACTGTCATGTTTTTTTTGAAGTTCCTATAATTCTGTGATTTTGTTGTGGTGAGGTTTTGATCTCACCACATTCACTTTTCCTTTTGCTAGTTAAACGAGTGAAACATTTTATAAATTGATGCTACATAGAAAATCTTTGTCCAATCTGTAATGGTTCAGATTTCAATTTCTTTGCAGAGAATATGGCAGAGGCTGATACACCCAGTGACATAATTGTTGTTCTTGGCTGCAGGACCAGTGAAGATGGTACCCCTTCAGAGATGTTAAAGTCTAGAGTGCATCGAGCAGCTGAGCTGTACACTTCATTACAACAAAAAAATATTGACTGTCGAGTCGTTGTTACAGGATATTGTGCACAAGATCAGGTATTCCCTGCTCTGCCTCATCTGGGAAAAACAAAAATAATTTTATTCCCTGGCTCAGAATGGTACATACATGACTGCATGACACACACCTTTTCCTCTTAAATTGGTCAGTCTTCAATACTTCTGCTAGGAGCAAGTGTTTATGAATATGAGCTGATATTCAAAAGCCCATCTTAAAGTCACCTGTGGTTTCTACCTGGGCAGGATAGTATGCATTGAGAACCTGGATAAGAATTGGGTGCTATGCTTTTCAAAGTGCTCACCCTTTATTGATTTCCCCTAGTTTTCCCATTGCAGACCAGACCACAGTCTAAAGAAGAAACAGCAACAAACATAACCAATTCCACAGGCCAATTAAAGAGTGTGGAACACCCCACCTGAATTCAGGCTCAAATAATAAGAATCAATATCCAGTTAAGACAAAAAGAAAAAGTATTCCCTCACTCCCAGATGTAAAATGGCTTTCTTTTGTTTCCTTTTAAATAAGGAGTTAATTTCAACAGGTTGTGACAGAAGCAAGTGCCATAGAAAAATATGCAGTAGAAAACAATCTTATTGATCCAAAACATATAATCAAGGAGGAACAAGCAAGCAGCACAGCAGAAAATTCCTATTACAGTCGCATTATTATAGATCAGTTTGGTGCCAGTAATGTCCATGTTGTCACAACACAGTTGCACATGGAAAGAGCAAAGAAATTTTTTGAAAGGGTATGTTCTTGTAACTTTGTTCACAAATGTGACTCTGCTTTAACAGACTTCCTGGATGGCCAGCATTATGGGAAGACAGCTATGTACTCTCAAAATATGGGCTCCTGAGGAGAAGTTTGACCAAATATACAGCTTACTCCTGTTGTTCAGAATTAGAAGATTTACCTTTAATAAGAAGCCGACTGTAAATCTGGTCACCAACAGTAACTATTAGCCAACAAATGCTCTTGGAGGTCAAAAGATCTGCTGACATGACCTTCCACAGGGTATCAGCAAATACATCAGATGTAACTTTTAAGAGTTCCTTTAAGTCTCCTCACTATACAATATATTGTGTTTTTTTGTCTTTTCAGCTCTACTCATCAGAAGTTTACAACATAAATTACTATGAGTGCACACATGAGATGAATGATGAAGAGAAGAAACATGTGGAAGACAGAGAAGAAAGTTTATTTCCCTTAATAGATGAGCACATCAAAATAATAATGCCCAAACTCACACTGCCTGATGGAAAAATGATAGAAATTCTTCATTCATCATTGGTTCCAACAGATGTGTTCAATCATGGTTTTACAACAAGATATGGTGGTGTATCAACCTACAACACATTATCCTCTCTCAACTTGATGTACAGTGACAAAAGAAGAGATCCAGACATCAACGTCCAGGAAAATCGTCGTAGACTAGCCTTGACTGCAAGATTTAACCCTGAGAAATTTCGTGTGGCTAAATGTGTTCATGGGGCTGATGTGTGGGTGATTGGAGATCCACAACCAGACAGCTATGATGCCTTAGTAACTGATAACAGGCAGTTCACATTGGCTGCTCCAGGTGCTGACTGTCCTGTGGTGCTGTTTTGTGATCCAGTGAAAAAGGTAAACATACCCAGGCACCTGCTAAAACTACTGTCAATCCATCAGCCCTGGAAGGGATTAACTTGTAACCTTCTCCTCACATTATTTAAAAGATATACCAGGAAAGAAATGAAGAGAATACTTATCAACTACAAAGTTTGACATTTGAAACCCTTAAAACCCAATGGGTAATCAGCATCTAATTTCTCATAACAGTAATTTGCTGAATCATTCATTAAAATCATGAGAATAAAAGAAAGGATCACCAACCTAAGAGGCTTGGATTGTTAAACAAATTCTCTTTGTCAGTATTAAGGAAATGTATAGAGAAGTGTATTGAGAATTTGGAGACTAATGTTAGGGTGTAAAAGGTTAACATTCTTGAAAGTATATTCAGGACTAATTATCTTTTAACTAAGTACCTTTTTATTTTTGTGGAATTTATAGTTGGTGTTTCTTCAATTATGGTTGTTTTCAGGTTTGTGGTGCTGCTCACTCTGGGTGGCGTGGAACATTAGCCATGATTGGTGCTGCTGTTGTTGATGTAATGTTGACAAGGTTTGAATGTAAAGTAAAAAATATTCAAGTTGCTATTGGACCCTCAATTGGCCCTTGCTGCTTCGAAGTTGGGGAGGAAGAGGCTGAAAAATTTGCTGAGGCATTCAATGATAGTGTTGTGGTGCGAAAGGATGGTTCACCACGCCCATTTATTGATCTTCGCCTTTCCATTAGAATGCAACTTGAGAAAAAAGGAGTGCTTCCAAAGAACATTGATGATAATACAAGGTAATTGGAAGAAAGGAACAATCAATTATTCAAATTCTATTTTCATTTCATGGTTTGTTTTAGAAATTTATGCAACAGCTTCACAAGCATTATTGATCCTCAGTGGGTAACATTTGAAGATTAGATTTTGCCACTGGGATAGGGATTCAGATAACTTCAATTTACAGAGGTCATTCCAAATGCTTTTGCTTTTCTTAGGGGAGGAAATTCGATATCAAGACATTAACCCTTTAACAAATACAGTGACCAGCTTCTAACTTTTCCTTTCAGTATCACCACTAAATCAAATATCAAAGTCAAAATAGTAGAGCTCGCAGAGTGTAGCCCCATAATTATACAAAATAGTAGTAACCCATTAAGCTGAAAAAATTTGGTTGTACGACCATACGACCATACAAGATGCTACCTATAACATGTGTGGTCAACTGTACCGTGAGCACGTCAACACCATGGCTTTGTCCAGTAGTCCAGTGGTCAGTGCACTGGGCTCCGAGTTGGACGACCCGGGTTCTATTCCTGGCCAGGGCAAGGCCTTAAGACGTGTAGGAAAAAAAAATGCAAGCTCCACATTTAGGCTTGGCTAAATCTATATATTGGTCAAATATGATAGCCAACTAAAGCTCTTTGATTGCTATACAAATTCTCCTTGTCAGTACTATGGAAATTTACAAAGAACAGTATGGGGAATATGGACTAATGTTAGGGTGTAAAGAGTTAAAAGAGAAGGCTTGGATTTAGAGCTTGTTTCACAATCTGCACAATGAGTGATTTGGAAGTACTGTTGTCTAAAAAGTACCAAAGAACATCCATTAAGGCTCTTTTTTTAAATGTAATCACATTATGAAGTACTGTATTCTCTCTGAAGAGGGTGTAAAATAACCACAGGCCACCCACTCCAAAACCTCACCAATCATCCTTACTGTATTCTCTCAGAAGAGGGTGCAAAATATCCACAGGCCACCCACTCTCAACCCCTATGACAATTCAACAATAATGCATTCCTTATCTTCTACTGAAAGGAACTTTGTGGAAATTCCCCGAAAAAACAATGCAGTATTGGTTTCCAACTTTTTAATGTTACTGTAGTGTGGGATGGATCAGGTTTGCAGGTAGAATTTTCAATTAAAAGGAGTGCTACAGCAGTGTCTTACAAGAAAAGGCATGCCAGTTTGTTTAATCATTACAAGGTATCACTTTGTGTTAAAAGGTATAAGGGGGCAGCCCAGAATAACCTGCAACTACACCATTGTCTTTGGTAGCACTGGGAATTGATTAGAAGTAGAGAGGAACATGCTTTTTTTTCCTTTTACAGAGCAACTGATGATGCCTCAAAATCTCAGCACCCAACTCAATGTACACGTTGTGACCCCCAGCAAAGATTCTTCTCATTCCGACGAGATGGTAGCCAGTATGGAACACAAGTTGCTTTTATCAGCCTCAGAGAATCAGATGATTCTGCCTGTAACATTTTATAATTTACTTGATCAATTGATGAACTGGGTGGGAATTTTTGCCACATTAAAACTATTGTAAAAATTGGATAGTGCATATGAGAGGTCAAATATAAGGAAAAAAAGGAAAGCATGAATTCTTTTTTTTTAATTAGTGTGTGCATTTAATAAATTGTAGTTGTCATATTCTGCTGTCAGAATACAGCCAACTCATGAATGAAAGCTCCCAAGGAGTCTTGGACAATTAACCCCCTTATTCACAACCCTAAATATATCATTAAGACAAAGGGGGTATTTACCTCTTCACGATACTCTACTCTGCTTTACCTTATGTAATTTTTTTTTCCTTTCATTCTAAAACTGGTATGTACATTTAACCCTTTAACTCCCATGAGTGACCAAGACAGAATTTCTCCTTACTATATCATTACAATATCAACCAGATAAGTGGTGAGAATAAAGAAAATATCAATTTGGGGATAATTAGTAGATCCAATGCTAAATTCTCTGAACTAACATTACAAGAATCGTATGGTTGACAGTTAGGAGAATTACAAATTTGATCTGGGAGTTAAAGGGTTAATAGCCATAAAATCACTCAATTAAGTCTCTGACTCTTACATAATGTGTTCCAGCCATAATTAAATCATGTGCTTGGCTCTTGGCACATTCTTTCATCAGAAAGAATCATAGAAAAAGCAAACACTGCATTGCTACACCTATAATTAAGTAACTGTATTCCATATTCATCTCGCATATAAAGCCAGTGTGTGAGTTGTTGGCTGTAAAATCACTCACTTCTGTTTCTCACCTCTTTGTAATGTATCCCAGCTAAATCACAAGCATATTCCAGGCTGCCTAGTACACTTTTATACTGGAGTTTGGCTATACAGTAATTGAAATTTTAAGAATGCTTCACTGGAAAGAGTAAATGAAAGGAAGTAATTAAATTTTTTATAATCAATTTAGAAGCAAATTCTTTACAGGTGTATTGTTGGAGTATGTTATTTTTATGGAATGCAGATTGCTTAATTTTCTGCACTAATTTTTGTTTCCTACAACTATTTTTAAATGAAGCGTAATTTAAGGGCAGAGTACTTCAATAAAGTTATTGTAGTTTGGAAAGTGTGGTCTCTGAGTATCTGAAGATGCTGAATTAAATGCATGAAATTAATTATGAAGCAAAATTACTTGTACATTGCTAATGTCGTGGAAGTTATTGATATCAAAGCCACAATTCCACATTTTCAGTGCCATGATTTTAATTATTCATCAGCTGAGAGGTGTTCTATTTGCCTCTAACTCTTCACCCTTAGGATTGAACATCACATAACTGGATCAATATCAGTGTCTGGGGAAACTGCCCACCTACCCCTCCCCTAACCCAACATTAACCCTAACTTGTTATCAGTAGACTGTTGTTGGGTTAGGGGAGGGGTAGGTGGGCAGTTGCCCAGATACTGATATTGATCCACATAGCTTCTTGCAATATCAAACCTGTATAACACATTAACCCTTTGCATCCTAACATCTCCATACTCTCTCTGTACATTTCTTAAGGTTCTGAAAAGGAGAATTTGCTTCACAATCAAGAGTTTCTTCAGTTGTTGATCATTTCCCTTATTCTCATGACCTTAAAGTTTTATTTAAGTTGATCTTGTGAGGAGAAATTAGCTGTCAGTCACTCTTAGGGGATAAAGGGTTTAGGTCATAAGAAGAAAGGAAATGATCACTAACTAAAGTAGCTCTCGTTTGTTAAACAAATTCTCCTTGTCAGCACCTGAGGAAATGTATGAAAACAGTATGGAGAATATGCATACTGATGTGAGGGTGTAAAGGGGTAAATGTGGCCTCTGCTATTGAATACCACACAAAATGGCCTGATGGTGTGGTGTTGTGGACATAAACAGTCCACAACATAGGCTACTTTGCTCAGATACATTCTTAGCAGTGTTTTCCAAGTATCTCTACAGCCTGATAAAAGTTTGTTGTTTAAACTGTGCACTGATAATGTTTTAATAGAATCTATATTTTGAAACTTATGGGGAAAGGGAACTTGACACTAATTATAACAGGGTTTGAAAAGTTTGATTCAGAGTTATATTGTTTAACCCTCAAGAGCTCATTAGTAATTCTCCTTACTGTCTGCCATATAGTTCTTGTGATGTTAGTTTGGAGAATTTAATGTTGGATCAAGGAGAAATTCTGTCTTGGTCACTCTAGGAGTTAAAGGGTTGAGTGAAATGGGATGTTTATGTAAACAAGGAATAAAGAAAATGAGATTAATCCTGTAATCAGAATTTAAAATGAGAATAAACATTTATTCTAAATACCTCTTCAATTATCAATGATATATTTTTTGGATCAAACTGGTGCAATCAAACTAGAGCACTTTTCTCAATCATTATATCTAAATATGTTAAAAATATAATACTACCTCAACTAGTAACAATACTAAGCATACAAATGCTAGGATCATCTCAATCTTATAGGCATTCGAACAATAACAACCAAACATCTGGTTTTGTGAAACTAAATGATCATGGAAACCATGGCAACCACAACTGTGTAGTTTTGAAGTTCCTTAAACAAACAAATCACTCTTAGCCAATAATGCCAAGAAAGTGTGTGTTTTTTTTCTTTTTTTGAAACTTAGATCTTGTAAATGGGAAACTCTGTTAGGGGGAGAATACATCGTGTGTACATCATGCTTTCCCATAAAACAAAATGGAAGCATATGAGAAATCTCATATAAATTCAAATGTACAACCGTTAAAATCGCATTTACAACTGAAGATGACATAAGAATGTCGAAACATGTCTTGCAAACTAAAAGTTGTGGTTTCTTTATTAAGAATTATTGCCACTCTGCTGTCTTTACGTCCTTTTGGAAGCATATGAGCCCAAACAAATAGATACTTGCTGTTAATTTCATCACTTGAAAGTCATTTACTCTGAAATGGTAGAAAACACCACTGCATTGATCCCAAGAAAGGCAATAGCAAATACATGCTATTAACCCTTTAACTCCCATGAATGACCAAGACAGAATTTCTCCTTACAATATCAATACAATATCACCCAGATAAGTGACAAGAATAAAGAAAAATATCAATTTGGGGATTAATTGATGCAATACTAAATTCTCTGAATAATATAAAAATTGTATGGTTGACAGTAAGGAGAATTACAAATTTGATCTGGAAGTTGAAGGGTTAAAAAAGATTCCATTTTAAATAATATCTAAAAGAAGGAATCGACAAACTCTTACCCAGACTTTAACTCAAGACAACATCTCCAATTCAAGGAAATTTATCAATGGTTTACTGTGTAATCTGAATCTTTGTTAACCCCTTAACTCCTAAGATCTCATTTCTAATTCTCCTTACTGTCTGCCAAATGATTCTTATCATGTTAGTTTGGAGAATTTAGTATCAGATCAATAACTAATCCCATAATTAATATTTTTCTTTATTCTCATCACTTGTTTGTATGATATTGTATAGATAAAGTAAGGAGAAATTCTGTCTTGATAACTCATGGGAGTCAAAGGGTTAATCTTTCAAGACATGATCTATTACATTTAAAATGAAGATCTCTGAAGAAAAAAATATATTCTATCACATGACCGGAGGCATAGAGATCCCATGAGATAGCACAGCACATTATCCTCTATAAATAATACTCCCTGGTGTAAGCAAGAACTTAGTCCTTTAAAATATCTCTGTGTCTGAATCTCCTAATGTGAAAAGTTGATGGACATCAGAACAAAATAATATTGTCGTAATGATTACCTGTTATCAAAACAATGTTGTTAGAGCATGAAAATTGCAAAGGAAGCAGAGATATGAATGATTCCTTTGACCCTTTAGAAAAGAGTTCAATATTCTCAAAACAGTGCCCAATAACACCACTGATTGATTGCAACCATGCAGAAAAAAGCGTTTTGCCTGCTAGTTGTCCAAAAAAAGATTTTAAACATGAACAATTTTACAAACTATTTGAAAAATTGTCATCTTGAGGACACACACAAATGCCAATAAGATGTAAATCACAATTACTGATATTTAGAGATCTGAAAACATCAGCAACAAATTATCACTGAAAAAAATTCCAAATATTATATGTAATATCATTTTCTTGTATACCAAAAAAGCAACTAAACTAAAGCTTAACTAACTATGATAAATAACTTTCCATTCATCAGTTATGCTGTCTCCTGCTTCATTTTCTTCATGGGCTTATGCTAACCTGTCATCTTAACTCCCACGAGTGTCAGTTTCCTGATCAGTTTCCTATCAAGCAGACAAGCATTGAGAACAAAGAAAAATGTCAATCAGAGGACTATTAGTTGATCCAATACCAAATTCTCCCAACTTACATCATGAGATTTGTACAGCAGACAGGAAGGAGAATTACTAATGAGATCTGGGAGTTTAAGGGTTAGGTGTTTGCATATCCAAGCAACCTACTATTGCTTAGTCTCATTCTAATTAGGGAAAGTGGTGAGTGGACTGGCCTTCCACAGACATGGCTCAAGTTTAATTTCCAAACCAGGCCTAACACTGGAGTTGCATTTGTTCCTGTTCTAGTCCTTACATGAGAGTTTTTCTCAAGGCTTTCCTTCCCTTATCCATCAAAACCGACACTCAGAATCTTATTTGGAGGAGGAACCATTTTATGGGTGTACCATAATTGTTTACAGTTATTTCATGAAAAGTTGCCCCATCAAGTAAAGACAGTTTACAAAACAATGCAACAGGCTCATAAGCAATGGTACTTGAACAAGGCTCGACTTAGGTTCATATAGTTTTGGTGATACTGAAAACTCATTCCTTTACCTAAAAAAACTCTGAACCTCACCATGGAATTGTTGTATACATTTTTTTTTACTGTGGAACAACTCTCAAAAAGTTTTATTATGTGGACAGTTTATCTACCAGTGTACATGATTGTAACTTCTTGCAGTTATCATTGTTCAACAAATTACCAGTAGCTGGGTTTATCATGGCAAAACTGCTCCATATGAGCATAAACTCAGTAATCTATTCAGAGATCACTACTAACCACTCATGCATGTCAGGGCCAACAACCTCACTTACCAAAACAGGCATGTTAGTGTCATCAAGGTCCCTTCCATCTGGACTTTCTCCTTCCAGCTCTTTATCCAACTTATCCAATGCCTCATCAGACAACATATTTTCTTCTGCATCATCACAGCATGATGTATCAGAGCTTGCAATGTCATCTGGTTGTTCTTCTGCTTCTTCTGTTAGGTTTTAAATCATGTTTAACAAAATGTTCTGTTAGCTTAAGACACTTTAGTTTTTACTAGCTGCCACATAATAGTACACTTAATATCTGAAAACACTTCAGTTTTTGCCAGCTGCAACATAATAACACACTTAGTATCTGAACAGCCTCAACTGAAAGTAAATAAAACAGAAAAGGGAAAGGGTCTTTCTACACAAGCTCAGGTAAGGAAAGCTCTCACTAATGTGAATGATTTCATGAAATATTGTTCCTTGTGCGTGACAAATAACCCTTTCACCACCTTAAGTAAGCAAAAGGTAATTTCTTTGTAGAATGGTGTGTTTTTTGTTGCAAAACCAAGACTAAAGAAATCACAACTGCCATTCTGAGAAAAGGACAACATCCCAAGGAGTCAATGAGAAGTAAAAATAAAAACAAATAAACAAACCCTTCATGGTTTAAAACATCCCAATTCTCCTTACTGGAGTCAATGAGGAGAATTTGGTATTGGATCAATGAATAATCTCCTAAATATTTTACAAATAAACAAACCCTTCATGGTTTAATAAGCCACCATATCAAGAAATTATTAAGCCTTACTTTCAATTTTCCAGTCTTTCTTTATTTCCTCATGTTCCTCTTTTGTTTCATTTAAAGATTTACATACATCAGTCACCAATTCCTCTAAAAACATTTTAGCAGACTCATCAACAACAATTGTTTGTTCAGAAATCTTGGGTTTGGATTCTTTTAACTGCAAGAAAAATATATTGAAGCACACTGTAAATATGTTACACACATAGAGCTTGTAAACTGAATGTATCAAGAGGATACATTGGTACACATCATTTTACGTTAGTGCTAGAAGAG